AAAAAAAAAAAAAAAAAAAAAAAAAAAAAAAACCACCACAGAAACACACTTCCATAGTGGTCACTACAAATTAAATATATTGATACCAATGTAGTCCCACTGGCAATTAATCTGTACACTTTGCATATACCAGAGTTGGTTAAGAACTATGCCAGCGCTTGTAAGATGGGAAACCAAGCAAAGCCAACAGGCAACAAGTATGAAATTTAGAAGCAATCTGTACRTGAATGGTGTTTAAAGTTTTAACTGTGTCAGCAAATGCATAAGGCTTCAAAGAAATTTAGTTATGGGATTTTTGTAGCTGTTCATTTTTATTTGTATTTTTAAAATACAACTGGATTTTATTTGTTCAATAGTTCTAGGTACAGTTCTTTCAATAGAGTAATAGTTTTGGAATGTTGAACATAGCATATTGCTCATTTTCTTTCAAGCCTTTCATAAAAGCAGAGTGTCACCYGATTGCCACCTTTGCCATACGGACTATATTAGTAAATATAGATAATGAAAAATATAACTTTATCATTCAAAGAAAATTTAGACAATAACAAATATTCCTCTAACCTGAACTTTTACTTGTTCCACATGACAGGGGTTACTCAAAGGAGCTTTCAGTTCCAAGATACATCTCTCGATTAGGTCAGCATTTACAAGACTAAAATAAAGCCAGTTGGTAAGAAACATGTGTAAGCAATTAAATATTCTGGAAAATTTACTTTAAAAAGTTCATTTTAAATGAACAGACTAAATGAACATAGTAACTTATAATAAGCATTAATTATAGTGCAACTGGGACCAAAGCGGCAAAGTATTTTTAAAATTAAATTGTTTGTTTATTCCTAATTGCTCATTTTCTTTCATGAATAAAATTAATGACTTTCTACTAATATAAGCTGTATTCAAACAAGATTTGCTTTTATTAGTTTATATATAAGGCTCAACTACAAAAACTTTTGAAAGTCTTAAAATAAGCAAAACAGGACAAAACACCCTACTAATTTTCACGCATCTCTTGAAGACTTCCAAACACTGCCTTCACATAAAACAACTTGTTCTGACTCAAACAGACACATGGAAAATACATAATTTGAAAACTATTTGAAAAATTTGAAAGCTATTTCAAACTCTTCTTCTTCTAAGGTTTTTTTTAATCCACAAATTAAGGAGCTTCTGATGTAATATTTTCCCAAATTTGACAAGAATTATATGCCCTCTTCTACTGTGACAGCTCTTGGTCTGTCTGCAAAACATTCCCTGTATGCAGGGTGGGGAGAGGGGGAGAAGAAAAAGGAAAAATGAATAGAACAGAAGTGATCTGCAACACCGAATGCCTGACTATGTCGTCTGTTATTCATCTAAAAAAAATTAAATCCCTAAATGACAAAAAGTTCATTTAGATGAASTCTAAAACATTTCCAGAATAGCAGCTCTGTGGAAGACCACCACCACAACTAGAGTCACCCATATGCCTACTTCTTGAGTGTATAAAAATCTAAATTCTCCTTTTCTGCTACTTGTGTTAAAAAGGAAAATAAATAAATAAATAAATAAAGCCTTTGTTAACACCCTAGAAGCAAGATCTGATCAATATCTTTAACAGCTTTGGTATGAAACACTGGTAGATCTCATTTCATGCTTTTCACCTCTATTACTACACCTGTTTGTAGTTCAGCAGTTATTGATCCCCTACCTGCTGAGAGCTGTTAGCAAGTGTGCTTGCTGAAGAGCAATTGCGGTATCTTCTGGAGTGACAACGAGCAGATTATGCAGAAGGCTGCAAACAGCAGACAGGAGAGCRGGTGTCACCACAGCGCTCTGTTTAGGCAGCGCAACAGACAGGGGAGAAACATGTTGGCTTGAAGACCCTGTTGTGGTGGTATCGCTCTGACCTAAAGTGTGTTTAATAAACAAAAGGAGAAAAATAAAAGAATCATATAAAAAAAAATCATAGCACTTACATAAAACAACTTGCTTTCTATTTTTCACAGAATATCCATCTTCCCTATATACCTAAGATAGTATAATCTGGAATTAAAAAAAAAAAAAAATCAGATACAAGAAAAGTGTTATTTAATATTTTTTCTGTATAAACTCTCCTTTCTGTAGGCCACTAATTACTGCTAAAGATGAATGATGAATTTTGTTTTCTTTCCTTCACAGAAAGATATCTCTTTATCTAACTATATCTTTATAAAATTTAGTATTTTAAAGGGCTACTGGTTGACTGGAATGGAAAACTGGTCTCACAAATGTGTGACATTTCAAACAAGAGCAACTGTTACTACTTAACTCCGTCAATGTATTTCACCTTATTGTATTTTAAAGGCATGATTTTACACTTGTTTTCTRAAACAACCATTCAGAGTGTTAGCGTGACTGTTCCAACAGCATACAAGATTTATATGCATATCCAAATCCTGGAATAAGGACAGGCTAAATAATACATTATATTCATCATCATGTTTACAAAGTCAATTACAGTTTGGCTTACCTTGAGCCATAAGCCTATCAGCTGCAGTTTGGGGAATAAAACTGGTTGAATACGTTTGGACTTTTGCCTGAAGCTCAGTAGCACTCCCCAGTGATGGTGATGCAGACAGAATCTAGAAAGAAATAAGCAGCAAACTCCCTGATTCCATCTTCAATACAGCAGACATTTTTGTTTTGCTTGAAGGCACAGAAATACATGTAAAAATTACTCAGTGTTCAATTTAACTCAGTGTTGATTGTCTTAAAAAATATAAACACCTGAGAATTGAAACTATTGAAAACAGAGCAATATGAACAGGCTAAAATATTTCAGTTCACAAACTTAACAGACTAAAACATTTCAGTTCACAAACTTACTAATGCCCAAGACTTACACTGGAAAATGCTTCTCTTCTCTCTTTTTTTTTCTTTTTTGTTTTTTAATCCACTGATTGATGAAGCAAGAAAGGCATCACTCAAGTATTTAGAGTTGAGATTCCTGTGTATTTCTGCTCTGTTGAAAATAATTGGGGCTCGGCCATTTGTATGAGGACACACTTATGTAACATAGAATAAATGGGATAGTCTCATCAGCCAAAGCTTAAGTTCTGGAGCTGTTCTGACTCCCAGTGTTCTGACTTCTCTCTTAACTTTAGTCCTGTGTTCCTCAGATGTGTTAGTTTTGTGGTGAAGATATATTTACATCATAATAATATTGCGAAGCTTCTATTAATTGAGCAGCTAAATCATCTGCCATATTAGCAACTTTGCAGACTTTCAAAGAAATTATTAATAGTCTTGTGGCTATGTTTTAAATTGCAAGCATAAAATCAGAAGACCAAGACTCTACAGCTTAATAATAATCTTTGTGACCTACCAGAACCTGTGACCCATCTCAGAGCATAAATACCTATGCCAGGCGATATATTCAATTCTGTTTTTTGATTACTAAATGGACTATTCACATAAATATTTTTTCAAAGGAATCACTGATTTATTTTTGAAAGATTATCTGAATATCATTTTAAATAATTTTTATGTAAAGAAAAGCCAGAAGTGACCTAAAAGACAATTCAGCAACCATATCAAGTGGCACGGGGAAGGAATTCATTAATTCCTCTCTTAGCCATTGAACCAGTGCAGACAGGTCACTTCTTTCCACGCTTGGCTTCCATTTACTCAGCGGCATTATGAGTTGCAGGAAACTCTCTGCACAGCTTTGTCTTCTCCCTAAGGTTTTCTGTTTTCCCTTCATGCTCCCCAGCCACTTCCAAACCCTGTCAGACTTCTAGCAGCACATCTTTACATGACACTGAATGTTTCCCTGCATGAGCCGATGGTTTCCACTGCTGTGCTGCAACTCTCTTGGCTCTCCCTCATTTAGCACTGCTGCCCCACTCTCATATTGACTCTTTCTGTGCGAGCCTGCTCAGCTGGTCCTCAGAAAGGACCAAGGAACACTGTAGCACAGAAGTGAACATCAGGGTGGAAATCTGAATCCTAGGACTACATAATCAGCAAGACACATTTGGGTACAACATATTCTCCTTGTAAGCAAAAAGCAGTACTAAATTCCATCATAAACTTGAAAATCAAGCATAGCTATATTTTAAATAGAACTTTTAAATATATAGCTAAAAACCATATTTGCAAATTCAAGTAAATGGGAAGTTTTCTCCTTGCTGATTTAAATGATTATCAATAATTTTTATTAGAGTAAATCACTGTTATGACACTCAGCAAACTCTGCATTTATTAAGGACTATACTTCAATTCCAGCACTTTATATATATAGATATAGATATAGATATAGATATAAAAATATACATATAATATATATGCATATATTTATACATATACATTATATGTGTATATACCCATACATTAAATAAATGTATATGTATATATTTTTATACATGTATAAAAATTATATAAGCACAAACCTAAAATACTGCCTCTAACAGTCCTTATATTTCTTCTGCAATAGCTAAAACTGAAAGAAATGATTGCCATACTGGGACTCAACAATGTTTCCACGTGTTAATAAATCAGCACATCAGCCACACTGCATGACACATATTCCTTCTACATCCTGTCCAACTATCTTAGTTTTATGGTCAAAGAAATGAAAGTAAGGTCTTATCCAACTGGAAGAGGGGAAAAAAATCAATATAATGTTATCTGGGTGGAAAAATATACCTTATTAGCTTGATGCACTGATGGGACATTTATTGGTAATTGCTTCACAGTGGGGTATGGGGTTAAAACCAGACATTTTCTGCTATCTTAACAGAAAACATACAATGACACAATGAAGTAATTTCCATGGTGTTCTCCCTTCCAGGAAAGAAAAGGAATTACTACTTTTATAAATCACCCCTAATAAGGGTGATCTGGGGGTCTGGGACATCATGCCCAGTGGACAATATCTACAATTATTATTTACGTACTGCTGCCACCCTATTCTTTCTAGGAGCAATGAAGCACTCTGATGCTTCGCAGCACAAGCACAGAAATTTGGACAGGGACGTACTACAGAGAAGGAAGTGGGGAAGAGGACTACAGATCACAACAAATAATAGAGAAGGATGCAGAAGTTGTCATGGGAGGACACAAGACAAAAGGTGATCCTTGTACCATTTATCTACTAGATATGAGTAAAACTCTTTTCTTAACCTCTAGTATAAAAATCCTTCTGGCATTGCTTTAATAGGCCTGCAGYGATTAATTCTACCCAGTGTTCTTCTCAACGCTTTAAATCACTTCAGTGTAGAGCACCACGGATCCAGCAAATAAAGCRTACTTTTTTTTWAAAAAAAAATCTTTTTTAATCAAATAGAAGGAAGATTTCATAGATAAGAATGGCCATGACTTTAAGCTACCTGGGGAAAGCCCGCAACTCTTTTAATCTGCACCATTTTCAGTCTGAATTTTGTTCCTTCTGCTAAGTAGTCTTTGCCTATTGGTGCCTGATTGGTGCCTTAGAGCATACATATTAAATACAAAACAAAGATGTTGGTCAAAATAAAAGGACTTGATTTCTGTTATGATAAACTGAGTTAATGTTTACTAATCTACTAGTTCTACAAACAACAAATGTTATTTTCAAAGAAATGATCTCTTCATAATATCCACACAGTTCACAGAAAAATAAGATGATTTTGACAAAAATCAGCCATCTACTAATATCTTCAAGACACTAAAACCAGCACAGATCAGTTAACAGAGGTAATTCAGCTCTACCACTGCCTTTTATGTGACCTTGAGTCATTGATTTCATTCCCACATCACAATTCTTCACTCTATAAAATCAGGAGAGTTGCACTTACCGTCTCTGAAAGGCCCCTGTCAGACTACTTTATAGTCTAAATAAGCATCATTTCTGTCATTAATCTTCTTGCTTTTTAATTTTCTCATTTTTAATTTTTATACATTTGGGAAAAAGATGAAGTCAAAAAAGTTAATTACTACCTTCATCTAAGTTTATATGGACTTAGCATAAAGTCAGCCTTTGGATAACTTAAATTTATTACATGAAAAATGAAAAATGAGAAAACTAGTCGTGTCTTTTTCTTTTTGTTAGAGCTGTTTTCCTGCATCCCTCAGAACCAGCAGCCCTTTTCTCTGTTCTTAGAATTCAATAAAAAGAGAGCTTTTGCCTCCACAAATATCTTCAGGATGTGGCTTACTGAAGGCAAAAGGCAGTTTCAGATTCCAAGATTGGCATTCATGAAAGGAATGGACAAATGGATAAGGACAGATTTAGAACTGAGTTTTTTTTTTTTTTTTTAATTTACTATTTAAAAAGTTATTAAAATATTGGAGGTTCTGACTGAAACAATTTTACATGGTTTGATGGCTGCTAACTCTTATTTTTTTGGGGGGCTGTTGTCATCAAATCTGTACCAGACACGAATTCTTCAACATTCTTCTTTTAGTAAGACGTGTGGGCTTCCTTTCATCTGTGATGGAGAAAGCATGCCATCTAGTGGGCTTAGAATAATTATATTCTCATTAACAGACCAAATTCAGAGAAACAGGTATTTTTGGGGCATAATTCATAAATGTTTTACTCCTCCTCATAAATAAGAATCGAAAGTTTTGGGCCAAACAATAAGAAAATATCAATTTATATAAAAAGATAAGTTACAAGAACTTACAAGACAGTTTGAGTTTTTAAATATCTCCTAACTTTAAAATAGACAACAGATGAATACTTAGCAGTCACTAACCACTCTTGGGAATGGACTTTCTCTATAGTCTCAGACCCCTTCCTCAGTCTATCACTATACTGTAGTGGCACTATATCAGACTCACTTTCTACATGAAAACTGGCCACCTGTCACATCAATTCAGACACTTCAAAGATAAGTAACAACTAGAGTTTATAGTTGCTTATAAGGTCCATAATGCTAATGCACAGAAAGGACAAAGGCAAATTAAATAATCTTTCTCAAAAGAGAAAGCAAAATCCAGTAATTGTTTTGTAACTGGTGGAAACAATGAAAAAAAGTGCCCTTACATTGCCTAGCTTTTTTCAATGAGAAAAAAAAAAGCCAAAGAAAACCTTGCCAATCTCCCATATCAAATTCTTTTTCTCAGCCCAAAATAAGCAAGACTAATACTGAAAAGAAGAAACAATATTAGCAACAACATGTATTGGATATAAGTAATATGAAATAGCAAGTACATGAATATAATTTAAAGTTTTCTTCATGAAGCTATTTTGTCTCATATAAGGAGATGCAGGAAAACAAACCTATAGATATGGCCAGTACTATTACATTAGAATCACAGAATCACAGAATGTTCAAGGTTGGAAGGGACCTCTASAGATCATCTAGTCCAACCTTCCTGCTCAAGCAGGCACACCTASAGCATGTGGCACAGGGTGGCATCCAGGYGGGTTTTGAAGACCTCCAGAGWAGGAGACTCCACAGCCTCCCTGGGCAGCCTGTTCCACTGCTCTGTCACCCTHACAGTAAAGAAGTTSCTCCTCACCTGGAGACGGAACTTCYTGTGCTCCAGCTTRTGGCCATTACCCCTCGTCCTATCGCTGGCCACCAATGAAAACAGCTTGTCCCCTTCCTCCCTGCATTCTCCCTTCMTGAACTTATACATATTAATCATATCCCCTCTGAGCCGTCTCTTCTCCAGAGAAAAAAGGCCCAGCTCACTCAGCCTCTCCTCATACGAGAGATGTTCCATTCCTTTAATCATCCTGGTTGCCCTTCTCTGGACCCTCTCCAGAAGCTCCACGTCCCTCTTATACTGGGGAGCTCAGAACYGCACACAGTACTCCAGGTGCGGCCTCACCAGAGCTGAGTAGAGGGGCAGAATCCCCTCCCTTGACCTGCTGGCAACACTCCTCCTGATGCAGCCCAGGATCCCATTGGCCTTCTTGGCCACGAGGACACACTGCTCACTCATGGTTAACTTGGTGTCAACCAGGACTCCCAGGTCCCTCTCCATGGAGGTGCTTTCCAGCAGGTCGACCCCTAATCTGTACTGAGATTAGCAAGTGTATAGCATTGTTTTTCATGAAAAATATCATTAAATAAATTATACTTCACATGAGTTGTGCTTTTTATGTCTCTGATAATTTAGCAGGCTATGCATTAATCACAAAAATAGAAACATAAATTTATAAAAATGGACTGCTATGCAATATGTCAGTTGTCTTAGAGGTCTGTTTCAATCTTTGAGAATATAATATTTTTTTATCAGGTACCTAAAAAAGATGTTGGAAAAGTTTTCCCTGAAGCCTGATCCTGTATTGCACTCTGAAACGACAGCTAGGATAAAAGCAACAGAATTGACAACTACAGATGATCTGGTGACATTTTGTCAATAAAGCCAACCCCAGAGAAATTTCTAGAAAATATGCCTTGCTGAGAGAAGCTACAAAATCCATCATTGCCATGGCCACTTAAGTAGATAAATGAACTCTTTTTGTATTTGCCAAGGCAAGTAACCATAAAAGTTTTTAAAAGTGCATTGAAGTTGATTTAGATTAAGTTTCAATTCAGACTCAGCCTTATCTTTCAATTTAGAATCAGCTTCGTCTTTCAGTATTTATAATAGCACTCATCTTCTTCATATCATTTCAATGTACAACAGCATATTTAAAATAAATTACTAGGGAAAGTTTACCATAGTATCAGATGTTGACAGAGAATGGGGAGACTGGCTTTGAGTGGACGGAACCTTCCAAAGATTAAGTGAATCATCAAAATCTGTAGGAAAACAAAAAAAGGATTAAACAAAAACAAATAAAACAAAAGCACACAACAGAAAAAAAAATATCCTTTTCATTACTACAAGACCAGGAGGGTGCTTTAGCAACCTTTCCAAATCATTGTTTCAGTGAGGCAGTAGTAGCTGATCAGCTTTTCTTCTGAAAATTTCAAAATATTTAATAGGTTTTTACACAATGGACCACTGAGTTACTATCAACAAATGCTTCAAACAGTAGTAATGTAACTATGTTATATTCAGCTGCAATATAAAGTTAGAAAAAATACGTTCAGCTCAAATTACAGTCACAGAGGCTTTAATCATTTCATAATAAGTAGTATTGAAGGAATTGGGTGTCACAGCACAAATATGTAATGAGCAGATGCTCTCATCTTCAAAAAAAGCTTCCTATCTCAGGAGAATTACTCAAAGCCAGAAATTATTTAATTAGACTAAGCATATAGAAAGTTACATTAGTACCGCTTACCAGTTGTACCGCTTTTTTCCATGGTCACGTTGTCTCCCTTGGCACGACTCAAGTGGAACACGTAGCACCCGAGGTAGCAGCGCTTCGCCATCCGACTCACGTGTTCGTAGAGGCGGCAGTGGCAGAGCAGGGCCCGCAGTGCCGGTGGGCCCGTCTGCGAGAGACCAGACTCTTCATCGTGTACACAGGGTCCCTGAGGGCAGGAAGTTCACAAAGACCTCTTTTTTAAAGAAATCTCCAACATAAAATAAGGTTGCCTTTTGGAAAATACACTGTCCTTATACTACAGCTATCTATTCCAATCTTCTGTAAGAAGAGACTTGCTTAGAAAACAAAACATAACAAAGAAATTCTCTTTGAAGAATGGTTTGCTAAAATGGAAAGATAAAATGGAGGCGGTAAAATTATTTTGTGTTTTAAGTTCTAGACTTTTGGATGACTCCTGCCTCTTCTTTTTGGTTGCTGTAACATAAACTACTGACCACTTGCATCCTCTGCCTTTTACACCAATTAATGAAGAATCGGATGCAACATAAATAGTTTGAAGATGATCAACTGCATGTAAACTGCTTGCGACAAGTTGTAAAACTGAGATCATGCCCGGGTCAGCAATATACTTGGATGGTATTAACTATGGCAAATGAATACTGAAGAAATTTTATGCACATGATATATGACTACGTTCATTCAAAGATTTACTATCCAATATTATTTACATATTAATATATCACATATGTATATAGAGTATCTCCAATACAGTAACATTCTCTTTGCCCGTTTAAAATACCAGGCCAGCACTTTTTTGRCTGCACAGGAAGAGCCATCCATCAGTCACCTTCACAACATGCTCTGGACTTCAGCACTCTCCAAGTAACACAGTATGTTGCAGTCTCAACTTTACACCCCTTGATTGCAGTCGTGCCACTTTGAAAAGTAGCATATCAAAATTAATTACTAAAAGGCAAATCAACTGTGTAACAGCAGCAGAACATATATTCACATGATACTAAAACCATCCCTATAATATCTAGAAACAGCATTTTCTTTTCCAGTCCCATTTACCTAAGGGATAAAACAATAATACTCTACTTTGGCTGTGAAACATTATTTCTGCTATTCACCAAATCCTCTTACTAGCTTTCCTTTGAACTTCACTTGAATTAACTTTCCTACTGAGAAACTAAATCATTTTGTGCAAGGCGAAAAATAACTCTTTGAAGCAGTCTTATAATTGCTGTTTGTATTTTCAGTTTTTTATTCATGCTACCATGAGGTTTCAGTATCTTTCACACGATCGTCAGTGTCAAGCATCTTCCATTAAAATGCACTTATTGAAAAGAATCACATTGACTCAGAGCTCATAGTAATAGCACTGGAATTCACCTGGAATTCTGCGACCTGTATGAAATCCAACTTTCCAGTTCTGGTATCAAACCCCAAAAAGTCCAGAATCCTGGGAAGCATACTCTTTCTTGAAGAATTCGCTGATTTATTCCACTAGTAACTACACTAATAAAATCATATATTTTGCTACAGGGATAGGAAGTTTCACAAGGGCAAGTGAGAAGTCCTCCACCTGGGGAGGAATGGGGCCATGCACCAGGACAGGCTGGGCCAGCTGTCTGGACAGCATCTTTGCAGCTCATTGGACTGGCAGTTTTACTGGATACAAAGCCAAGCACGAGGAAGCAACGTGTCCAACCTGGGCTGTGTAAGCAGAAGTGATAGGGACAAGTGACCCTTCCCCTCTGCTCAGCACTGGTGGGGCCTCTCCTGCAGTGCTGGATCTAGGTCAAGCCTGACCAGCACAAGAGAATTCAGAGCTACTGGAGAGACTCTAGTGAATGGCCAAAGATGATTAAGGGACTGGAGCAGCTCAGAGGAGGAGAGGTCGAAAAGGCTCGGGCTCTTCAGTCTCGAGCAGAGAAGTTTCATGGATGATCTTGTGAATGTTTGAGTACCTGATGAAAGGTATCAGGCTAATGGATCCAAGCCCTTCCCAGTTGTGTCCATTGATAAGAGACAACGGGCAAAAATTTAAAGCAAAATTCCACTTAAACGAAAGAAGAAACTTTTTTTTTTTTTTTTTTTTTTTTTTTTTTTTTTAAAGGAGAGAATAGTTGAACTTTGGAGCAGATTGTTCAGGGATGCTGTGGAATATTCATGCTCAGAGATATTTCACATTTGACTGAACATGGCCCAGAACAACCTGCTCTTTTTCGTCCTGCTTTGAGCAGAGGTTTGGACTACATGATGTCCAGAGGTCCTTTCCAATCTGAACCATTCTATGGTTTYATGACACGTTATTTTATGCCACCTCAGACATTCAGATCCACAGTTGAAGTCTTTGCGCATATACAGAATAAAACCAGTATTTTTCAGATAGCATTCAAAATTAAAGGAAAATAATAAGCTTCTAGTCTTTCTCCTAAAAGGCTTTGGTCTAAACGACCAGTCTGTATTTTAAAATATTATTGATACTAGTACATTAATATAGTTATTTTTACAGATATACTGCCATAAGTTTTTATAACAAATCATGTTCCACTATGACACTGTAACCTTCTCATTAAATGTAACAGTCACTCACTTGCCAAGTACCATCCTTCACATCTTCAGTAGGAATTGGGATCACAAGGAGATTCTGTAGAATAAAAGCAGCCTGAAAGAAAAGAAAACATCAGCATTCTCATTGCTATATCACAACTCAAAACAAGCAAACAAAAAAACTGAACAACACAACCTACAGATTAATTCACTATTTTAGACATAGGCTGAAAATCCACAACCTAAGATGTTAGAAGGGCACAAGCAACATACCTCCCTGCGCACCATGCTGCATTCAGATTGGTCCAGAAGGATGTTTATCACTGTTCCCCACAGTCCTCCTGAAATGTTTTGGCAGCTTTCTGCCAAAGCAATACATCCGACTTCAATGGATGAAAGAGCTGATCCTATTCCAAGTGAGGTGAATCGGACCTAGAACAAGCAGGCACAATACAAAACCACATGCAGCAGTAAAAGCAGCCCTAATTATTACAAATCTTGGAGAGTTAAAGCAACTGAATCTGTAGCTTGGGAGAAATCTTTGTAGGAAAAGCTATTTTTTTCCCTAGATTCTCTCTGGTCAAATCCCAACAATCACAACTATGTGCAAGTAATAATGACATAATAAATGAAAACCAAAAAACTCCTGAATAATTAAYATATTCTTGCATTTTCTTTATATTTTCCATTTAAAATAGTTCTGGCTAACAAATCTTCATAAAAATCAAAGAGACTTTTACATCAAACATATTTGCTCTGAATTTGTCCTTTCTGTAGTTCAATGTTTCTGCATTGCACCTAAATAAGGCAGTTTTCATCAACACTGCTTTATGAATCATTACCATGAGTGATTAGAAGAAGATTAGAGAGATGTAGGGAATCATTCCTAAGACAGGTATATGAAAATATTCCTTCACAACTGTTACTACTATTCAGCATATAGTCAATAATGTTTTGAATTATTTAAAATATTAGCTTTAATATTAAATAAATCAATGAAAGAAAAATATGGCACATATTTAAGTGGGAAGACAAGGTATCGACTTAACATTGTTTTAACAAACCTCAGGATCTCTATCAACCCACAAAGGAACCAGCCACGCCAGACCTAGCTGAGGAGGAACTTGCTCTTCATTGTTATCATAAGGCAAGGACCAAAGAGATACCCAGTCCTGATAACAGAAAATAGTGAGAAAATATTTTATAAATCCTTCAATTTCACGTCAGTCTACGACATCTGAGCTATCAGATTACATACATACTTGTATGCTAAAAGCACTAATATTACAATTAAAAGTTTTTGATTCTCCTAGAGAGATATATACTTAACTCACTGACTTCACCTACTGAGTAAAATTGAATTTGTCTGCTTCTTCATAACATTAGGATAGTAGTGCTAAAGAGATATTAAATATTTCACTTGAGTACTAGGATAATGTTTTCTATTCAAAAACTAATCCTTCCATTTATTTTCACTCATTATTAACATCACTCTTCTCCTTTTTATTTTTTAATACGTATACATAAAAATACAAGTGAGACCAACAAGCATTTGTTTCTTTGATCATAATTCTTTTCTTCCGTGTACTTGTCACGTGATTAAATGAAGTCACAAACAGTATCATATACCACTTAGYTGGAGATTCCAAGCAACGATGTTTGACTTTACAAATACATTTCCTTACCTCTGACCTTACCTCAGGTCAGAGAAACATACCTGCAGAGTGCTGTGTATAACCATGCACTTACACAAGCAAAGCATTAAATGCATAATGAATCATGATAACTAAAATTTTAGAGGCATGTTTTTTACCAGCTTGGTTCTATAGATTTTAACACAGTAGGTGATTAAGATTTCATTTGCAGCACAGTATTTTGTATGCATCTTCTTAACACAAACAGCTGAGAATTGAGAAGTATTTTTACAATCCGATATTTTACTGACTGTTGTCACGTAAGACATTTTTGACCGCCGTTGCATAAGGCATTTTCCACCATGTAAAAAAAAAAAAAAATTAGAGTAAAATGTAACGTCAGCACTAAATACATCTCTGCATGGCCCTCAAAAATGATAAGGACAACTATAGTGTACTCACTGTATCCTTAGCTTGAGCCATCATTTCATGGGACAAGTGAAGCAAACAAAGAACTGTGCTCTTCGTAACACCTTTTCCCATAAAGGACATGGCATTTCCTCCCCATTCAACATAAAATGATGAAATGACCTGGGAGAGGTGGAACAATTTCATGATAGCTTTACTGCAAGTAATATAAGGATACATACAAACTGTCCTAGAGACTAATAAATCATAACTTAAATTTGTGAATTAATTACATTGTGCTTTCTAGGTATTCACACCAAAAATAGGTAACAAACTCCTTACCTCAAGAAGGCCTGCTAAATATTTCTTACAGATTGTGATAGGTTCAACGTCAGAATATGTACTCCAGTCTGGAAGTGCAGTGACATGAACCATTCCTCGCAGGGTTCTTTCCAGGGAAGGGAGGCCATAGAAGTGTGGTGCGTCTGTCAGCCTTAAGCACTGCAGCAGCTTCAGAGCCAGCTCTGTTCTGAAAGTGCCAGCAACTTCTAAGGCCTCTCTGGATAAACTGTAAAAAGCAAAACAGAGCCAAGTATCAGTAGGCAGTTATTAAAATGAATCATTTCACAAGAGGCCAATGCCTCATTCTTCTTTTTGTTATTCTGTCCATCTCAGCCTGTGATTTAGTAACTATTGCCTCGTGCATAGAATAACATAGAGGCAAATCTGACATTTATAGCCCCATCCAGGTTCAGAAAACCTAGTATTGCATCGTATTATAAGGAGACTTCTTAATTTAAAGGGAAGTATATTTGTTTATTCCAGTTCAAGAGACAAAAGTTTAAAATGTTTTAATCAGTCTAGAATTCCACTAGAAACTGAACTGGCAAGGATTTATTTAAGCCTCCTATTTTTTTCAACTGTCAAAATTCAGTAAGTTGAACAACTGAGTTGTCAGAAAGATGCTACTTAGAACAAACTATCAGTTGTTCTGCTTTGGCACTTAAATATATGTTTATGTCAAGCTGAGGTTTTAGTATCTCTTAAAACATACTTGGATGGAAAGACTAAAAGTGGGAAATTATTTTAGATAAAAACAAACAAAAACAGAAATTCATCTTTGTATTTTCCTGATTGGCAGAAAAGGAGTGGAACTCCATGAAGGAAGCAGATGTCCAAACTCATGACTAACGTGCAGAGATGCACTTTATTAGACCAAAAGAAGTTGGRTGAAAATAAACATTTACTGTTATTTATTAGATTTTATTGTTTTATTTCCAATAAATATCTGCTGTGAAGTCAAAAAAACTTACCAAATTTAATTACCATTTCTTCAGAAAGTAATAGCAACTTCACCCTTTCCAGATTACTTTCCAAATCTTATTGTGAAAAAGCCCACCGTGCTTCAATCTTCAAGGTCAGTACGTTCCATTTTTATAATTTTGAATAACTGTGTCACCATGTAATCATACACCAATTATGACTGAGATACTGTCTCACTAGATACCAAATTCCTCAGCTGAAATTATGTGGGCAGGCCCCTTACAACGTACCTGTCAGTCACTGACATGGAGCAAAGCAGCAGTGTGTTAAAAAGGTGAATGAGCTCCTTATCCAGCTGCTGCCTTACAGCTGCCTGTGCTTCATCTACTGCATCCTGCACCTGGGATTCCGGTCGCACCAGGAGGTCCAAGAGTGAATTTGGCTTCTAGAATAAAGCAATAGAAATATATTTATACAATGTAGTATTGATAGCTTGCTTCAATACCTGCACTTAAACCAATTTTTGATCATGGCTTGCAAATCATAGGTCTTATAAAACAAAAACTACATGATCATTGCACCAAGAAGTGTTTCTATAAAAGGCACAGTGAAAGCTTCCTGCAATTACTTACTACTTGAATCTACTAAATGGCATAAAATAACGCACTGTAATTTCTTTAAAGTCTCCTGGTTTTAAGTCATCATATAGTATATTTTGATTCAGCACAGTAGAGCAAAGCTAAAGTTACATGTAGCAATAACCTGCAATGAAAAAATAAATCGCAAGAAACATAAAACACMAAGTAGAAATATTAGTTCAAGATGTAGCCTGTAGAGCTAAATTGCTTGAAATATTGAAAATCATCTGACCTAAAACTTTTGTAGGATTTTTTTTGTATGAATGAGACAAATCTACAAGAATTTATAGGAATCCCAGTCAGCCACACAGGCTTCAGGTATTTCAGGTTATAAGTATGAACAACAAAGACTATTAATGCTTATTTGCAAATGTTAGATTGTATTATGATGGGGAAAAATACAAGTATATGTAGATTTAGCTAATATAGTCTTACATATTTATATCTTGAAAGACCATGAACCTTATTTTGAGGATAGTGTATTCAACAACAATAATACTCTTTAAGACATATTTTTAAAAGAGAAGTAATCACTGTCTTTGGTACCCAGCAATTATTTTTATACACCTAGATTGGATTACTGTATTTTAATAAATAAAACTTTGTTATCTTTTTTATGCTTGTTCTTATATTTTATGATTCCACACATCTTAAATGAACAGTATTGGATGGTTCTCTGCAATGCAAAGCATGTCTAGAGCATGGCTCACAAGCCTTTCCATAAATATTCTACAATCTCATTCTAAACATAGAAAATTTTTACTATGTTATGAAGCAGAAAAGAATTTGGTATTACAATTTTAATTTTGTTCACTATATTCATAACAGCATAGTCAAAGGAAGGGCAAGCAGATTCCACCATATTCCTGGTTCTGCATTAAAAAAAAATTAGAAGCATATTACATCAGTAAAGAATAAATGCATCTGACCATTCATAGTTATAATGCCCTAAAATAATTTCAAGGAAACATATGCTGTTACCTCACTCATTACCTTCTTCGTGTTTTAAAAGTAAAACAAAGGCAAGAGATGAGTGASTGCAATACAAAGACTGCAAGGAAGAGATTAGTTAAAAACTTTTCATGTCTTGTTTCATGTCTTTGCCTTACATCTTTGCATTAACACTGTCAACTAGAAGCTTTCAAAATTCTTCAAAGTATGCATGGAAAAAATACACTGATGTTTTCATTCTTAACAGGTTCTGGATACTAATTTTACCATAAACCTACTCAAATCAACTGCCTGAGGCGCACAAAACAAAGCTATCGGGAAAAGCCAGAAGATACAACACGTGACTTCATTCAATAACACCTGAGCAAACTCAATGCACAGGTAAATGGTACTTTTATTTAGCAAATAAATAAATAAATAAATAAATAAATCCTGTTCCTTTTCCTAGGACAGCTTATCACAGTAAAACACATTACCGACATTTGGTCATCTACAACTAAGTTAGGTATATTCTTACATTCTCACGCAATGTTTTCAGCATCCATTTTAGATGGTCTGTTTCTAAACTTGTTCTCTGCTCCTTAAGCAGTTTGTTTAAAAAATTCAGGACATCTACCAAAAGCTTCTCATCATCAATAGAAGCTGGAAGCACTTGCAGAAACCTGTAATGCAAACAAAAATACTTTTTTACCTCTGCAGCACATTAAGGGTATTGAAGATCTCTGCCTAGCAAGACTGAAGTAACTTGCAGCCATGGAATTACCTACACCAAACCTAGTGCGAAAAATACAAAACAGGATCACAGACCAGGAAAATAAACAAATAAACAAAAACCAACAACAATAAAACAAAACATCCCTAAACTGAACAAACACACTTGCAAAGCTAAGACTAAGCCAAAGTTAATTTTAATTTTACATGAAAATTCTGTACCATCTGTCAGTTTCAGTAACCAATAGCAGGCACAGTTCAACCACAGGATTATACAATATTTGAATACGGATACAAGCAATCAAAAATCAGAGAGAGAGAGGGGCAATCTCATATTTCCAACTTTACAGTTTTAATATCACATCCTTAATGCATTTTCTGCAGTTAATATGCTTACCTGTTTAATGCTTTTTGCCAAACAAAGCTCTTCAAAGTATTTCCAGAAGGCTCAGAGTTATATTTTAAAGCAAGCTTGTCATTAAGAACATAAAAACTTAGTTTCATAACAGCAGCCCTAACATCCCTGTGGGATACTGCCTGAATGATTGAATTAAAACATTCCTGCAATCCATAGATTGTGTGTGTTATCTTCAGTATAAGAATGTCTTCTGAGGACAGCTTTAGCATGTCTAAAAATCTGCAAAGGTATAAAAGAACAATGGTTAACTGCTGAGGCCTATGTAAGTTATTTCAGTGAGCACCAACTCTTCATATTCTAGTGCAAATGACGGGAGAAGTCTTTTTTTTTTGATTTGGGAATTTACAATAAAAGCATAATCAAAGCATAATCAAAGCATGCAGTTTATTAGTAAATCTTGTAGGGCATCTTAAAGGACAAACAAAATTTGTGAAAAATGTAAAAATCGTAATCCTTAATATTAACATTAATTAACAAAAATTAACGCAAATTCCAGTCCCGCAAAAGATGAGCTTCCTGTTACCTAATTCTGTCTGACCCTGAACATCAACTGGATAAGTTGGATCAAGCTATAGACTTCATACGCAGATGTAATTTAGGTAAAACATCTGCCCTTGACATTGTATTTACTAAGTCCTGGAATGCTTTACATTTAAAAAGACATCATTTTAAAATCATAAACAACTTGAACTCCAGTTCATGCAGGGAAGCTATTTAACCTTGAAAGACCATTAATATTATTGAAACACGTTAAGATTTAAATTCAAAATATAATGGCTTACATTTCTGCTTCCTTCTCATAATTTACCAGTTGTAACAGGTCTTCAATCCCATGATACCATGACAGATTCCAAGCCATCTTAAGCATGTCTGACACAGGCTTCATAGTCAGGCAGTCAGAAGACAATGGAATAACGACAGCATTGGGACTAACAGCATGATGAGCAGTGATTGTGACTGGAAGATGATACCTTAAAAGAGTAGTCTATTAGAATAAGAACAAGACTTTCACATTTGTAATAAGCTTGGGAAAGTCTTGGTAAGAGGACAAACTCTTGGAGGAAGAAAAAAAAAGATGATATTTAAAAAAGCAATCTCGTTTTTAACATAAACTGTATCTCCTTTTCCTCCTCTTTCTGTCCTTCAGGATTGACAGCTAGCAGAAAGAAGGACAGTTAACTGTGGCAAACCATACCGTCTCACAACAGCAACCGGCAAGCTGAACGAAGGCAGGTCAGTATCATTACCAGATATGTCATCAGTCCTGCAAGAAAAAGATTAAGCTATAGTTATTATTTGCTAATTTATATACCAATTCATACCCTAATTTTCTATCAATACTAGTATTTTGCCATTATTCAGATATAGCTGATATTTTTTCCCTTCAAGGAATTTCTTTGATCACATTTATACAAATTGCTGCAGATGTACTGCAAATAAAAACTAAATTAAAGATGACTTATCAAAGCACATGGTTGTTTAAATTATATTTCCATTAGAGAAAAAAAACGACATTACAATTTTTTCAGTACATTTCTCGTGTTAAACTTAATAGCTTTTTTTTTTTTTTTTTTCTGAATTACATGCAATTTTCATATAATTAAATGTGAAATATTCTTCAAGCTGAAGTCCTTTTTTCAGAAAGGATAATAGCTCCACTTAAACCCAGACTAGATGAGAGAATTCTTACTAAGATGACAAAGGTGGCAGAACAATAACTTTTCATTTGATGTACTTTCTATTTATGGAAACTTAGAGGGCAACAGGAGTCTTCAAAAGATAAGCAAATAAGAAGCAAACAAAGTAAACAAAAACAAACAATAATGATGCACTTATATTGTAACAGTGCATCAGGTAAACTTGTACAACATTCAGCACAAATACTGAAACAATTTGTTTGGCCTATACAAATAACCAAGATGCAATTTTGGAAATAAAAAACTTCTAATAATAAGTTGTTTGGGCACATATAAATTGACTTACATTAAATCTTAAAATTTTGACTAAAGAAATATAATCAAAAATTCTTGKTTTTTTTTCATACCATGTTTCTTGTCTTGCTACTTCATCAAACAACAGAAGACAAAGCAAAACCGTAGCTTCAGTTAGAACAGTACAATCATCTTGGAATACCAGGGAAACTAAATAAAGATATTTAAAATACATGTTACAAAAACTACGATATTTTATAGAACTGGTTAACCACTTGATTTTTACAGCCATTTTGTGAACTTCTTCAAAAGATGCCACTTCCTGGGTAACACTAGCAAAGAATGATACTTCTTTCTCTCTCTGAAGAAATCCAAGGCTCTCAGGAAAGCTTTTGGCAAATGTTTCATGCAGGTGCCTTCTAAAACCACCCACCCACCCACCCACCCAGAAATAAAATCTTTACCTCTGAATAACACAAGCAGGAAGGATGACTGCTGTGCTAGGGACAAACGAACCACTGGATCAGCATACGCAATTTTCCTTAGAAGCGTTAGACACGGGAACACGAGACATTCCATGACCTGCAGGACCATATCAAATATTATTTATCAATATCAGTTAGAATGAACTAGCAGGAGAAGTTTACAACTAATGTTTATGCTATGAACCAGCACACTCTTTCATTTGTAGCAGAGAAGCCTTGAACCTCCTTAGACAATCTAGTGTGATTGCAGTACGTGCATTCAAAACTATTTAAACGCTTTGTTTTTTATCAGTAATCAATAATAATTTGATTGTCCTCTGCTCTCCTAACATTTACAATGCAACTTCCAAAATACTTATTTTGGAAAACAGGTACATACAGAAGCATATATGTGATGTGAAGGATTTCCAAAAATAAACAAATATTTGCACTCATATAATCTTATTCATTTTTGGATGCAAATCACTATTTTTTAAATCAGATGGATTTCCCAGATGTCCGGATTTCGTATGTAGAAGCCTCAGAAGCAGAAGCTGCTTAGCAGCATTGAAATATCCTTGATTCAGTGAATAAGTCATTACTTCTTAGAATGAGAATATAATATATCTTCAATAGATTAGTATGTACACTGTACCATTTCTTTGCTTGCTAAAAGATCCATCTTTATTTTTTTTTTAGCTCCATCCTCAAATAGAGTTCCATTTGATTTTCAATAGATAATATGTTTATTTAAATGGCAAGAGGAGTCTCTGGCACAGCTACATTTATAATCTATATATAATTTAAATTGTGCTTATTCTGCTCTACCACATCATTCATCTTCTTCATGGCAGCTATCTCCTAAAAGGATGTAAACTTGTTTTTTTAATGATTTAAAAAAAAAATAAGAAGGAGAATAAGAATCTGGGATGGAGTCCCTCAGGGTAGCAACCTAGAGACAGTTTATATAATCATATATATATATGCTCTTTCCTTGACCTAATGAGACACACATAGCTTGCTTTTACAGTCAGTTACATCAGAAAAGAGGTAAGCAAAGCTCCCACTCATTTATTTTCCCTCCTGGGGCTTAGTAACTTTCTTGGTAACGAATTATCTTGGCTTGAGCGAGGAAAGGTGGGAACTTGCTTAGACCTTGGGAATGTCTTTATTATTTTTGTTTCCAAAAAGGATATCAGTAAAGGCATTGGCATTCTGTAATAAACACAATTAAAAATTAAGAACCTCATATCAGATTTTCCCAGCTCATTATCAGGGGTTCACAGAGGTACTCATATGTCATTAATAAATGACAGGTTTAAATTATATTTGCTTTAGGACACAAGTCTGGAGAGATTTTTCTTTTAAGCTAATTAAAAATTGTATTTTGGTCTCCTTAAAGCAAAGATGGTTGGTTCTTGACTAATAGCTAGACCAGTATCTTAACAGAATGTCAACATATTCAAAAATGAAATAAATAAATACTGGGATTATACTTGTCACTAAACATATGTAGGATCAATGCAATATAAACACTAGTGCTATAAGTACAGATAAAAGGTTTATATTACCACCATGCTAAGCAACAGTTGCAGAAGAACTTGTGCCAGTATTTTTACCTTGCCATCTTGATGTATGCATTCACTGAGGTAAGCCACAATCTTTTCTACCACACCCAACTTTTTCACTGCATTATGCATTTTGGTATCTGCAAGAAAAAAGCATATTTATATTAAGAGCCCCTGGTTTCATATTAAGTTTCATAGTGTGCAGTAACATATTCATGCTGTTGAAAGTAGCAGTTTCCCAAACTGCTAACAGAGCAGGTACAGCTGAGGCACTACCAAGGTAAGTTCCCCTTAGAGTGTCATCTCAAAGAAATGCTGAAAGTTTGCTGCTGCGTTAGCTACAAAATATAAGTGTTATAGAAGTCTTTCTACAAAGCTAACAATAACCGTACAATTTAGGATAATAGTTTTAGATAGAGATGGCTATCTAACAAGTGAAAAAGATCTAAAACGTTCAGACTAGGGAGCAGTCATTACAGGACAAATTTTAGCCAATAATCTCCTAACCAAATAATAAAAACAGTAATAGTATATCCATTTCATTGGCAATAATCTGAATATACTAGCCTCTTAAAATTACTTAAGAAACCTAAATATCTTCCCAAAATGTCATTATGTTCCTCACCTACATCAGTATAACTCTAATATTGGCAGAAAGGACTTTAATATTTGAAATTTTCAACCATTTCACATGCAACAGTTAAAAATTAAAAATTGGTCATGAATCTGTCAATGAAAAATAACAAGAGCTAACTGTTTTCCATTGAAACCTTCTTTCAGAATATCTGGTTCAAGAATACTTAGAGAAAAAAAAAAGATGTTTGGGTTTGTAATTCTTCATATTAACTTTTTTTTTCCTCTGATAAAACAGCAACACTTTTCTTTCATCATTTCATCCTATGCTAGAGTTCATGTTTTTATTTGTCGTCTTCTGAAAACTGACAGGCATAGCAAAGCTTATTTTACAGGATATAGGAAGCACTTCTTCATTTTTCTCTTCTGAAATTAAAAATTCTTAGTTTAATATTGTCTAAGATCTCATCTTATCAGGGTGAAAAAAAAGATATATTCTGTTCTTACAATTTGTCTGTACTCAAGTAAAACACATACTTGAACCAGAGTTGGAGTAGGTAGAATATAGACATCCAGGTTTAAAACTTCAGAGCAGCAGTTCTACACTGAGCCAAATAATGCTCTATTCAAGATTACACACTTGCTTCTAACTTGGTCAAATATTCTTTATCTGTTTTTCCCTGGTGAGCAACAAAATCATGAAAAGCCATGATGCAAATTTATGACCAATTGTTTAAATCACCAGGACTATGAGATGGAATACCTTTCCAGCAACATATGTTATTTAATATTAAGTAATATTACATTAATGTTCAATAGACAGCCCGCATCTTCATACTACTAGAAGAGTAGAATCACAGTCCTGAGTTTACTGAACTCTTATTCTGTGTTTATCCTGAGCTTACTGAACTTTTAATCATACAAATAGCATTTAAATTCACATTAACCGTGTACCTAGGCCAACTGAAATCAGAAGAAGAAATTCTAAAAGCTAAAAGGAACTTGCCACTAAGTGTAAAACTCTTTTCACTAGCTTGCATGATCTTAGAATGACTTTATTATCTGAAACATAGTAACATTGAAAATATTTACATGTTTCCTAATGGCCTTTGCCTTCCTTCCTGAAGATAGAAGTAGCTGAGTTGGCAATTGGGAAATTTTGAAGAATCATTAGTTCAAACATCACAAATGACAAATATAATGGAGAAATTGAGGAAAAAAAAAAAACTATTACAGAGCTTACACAAATAATTTGCTCTTTTCTACACTATTACTTATTCTTGGGTACAATAACAAAGTTCTGATTTGGATGGCAATTTTATCCACAATAGTACAATAGCATTGCACTGTGGTCCAATAATACAGATAAGGTGTATGTAAAATAAAAGCATCCTTAATGGAAACATAAACAAAACAGGCAAACTATAGTAGCCACTGAAAAATCAGTGGATGAATAAAAATTTTCTAAAGAAATTTACCTTGCAAAATTATAGCTAGCTGTTCAGCTGCAGACTTTCGTAGAACCAAGTCAACAGCATCCGAAGTCAAGATACCGTGAAGTTTTTCAACAGTTTCTGCCTAAAAGTAAAAGCATAGATTTACATACAATATGCTACTGTGAAACAAGGTAACCAGCTAAACTTCATAACACAAATTAGAAAACAGAAATATTTATATTCTCTATTAGAATGTATTTGATTAGATTCCACATGTTCATAATAAAAATAAAAGAGATTAAGTTATAATCTTCATTTTAGAAATCTCTAATAATTCCTAGGGCACAAAAGAGAATAGATTTTAGTACCTAACAGCAGACCTCTAATCAAGATTATGAAGGATTAGAGAAATGTCAGAATTACATGGAAATGCTATAATACGCTTCTAATTTAGTGAACAGGAGTGCCTTTTTAATAGTAGTAAGGTTAGAAAAATTAAAATAATTTTGAATTCATATAAAGATTTAAGATCCTAATTTGGGGGAGATGTAGGGAAGAGTATAAGAAGTGTACAATGACTGTTTAAGTTTAAATTTAATCAGAAACGACACTTCCTACCCCTTCTTTTTAATGAACTTTTAACCATTGGGTGTGATGAAGAAAGAAGCAGGGGTGGTAAAAAAAAAAGAAAAAAAAAAAAAAAAAAAAAAAAAAAAAAAAAAAAGAAAAAAAAAAAAAAAAAAAAAAAAGAAAAACCACCAGCCTGTCTGATTGAATAAAAAGATAACTTTGCCCATTGGTAACATACTTGTGATTTGCTTTCATTTTGCAGAAACAGCAATGCTAAGCAAACAGATAGAAGTTTTAAATCTATTTTAGAATATTTCATATTAAACATTCTTTGTGCCTGTTTCATTAACAAAGGAATCTGGGTTGAAAGAAAATCTCTGCTTGAGAAAAAAATACAACTCTTCTTGTGCACAATTAAAGTGTAAACAAATGTAAACAGGCAGGCCTGTAGTGTTTGCAGTTAAGCTAATTCTTAAGATTAACTTATCTGCAGAGAGGAAAAAGAGAATGATTTTGCTGCATCTTGTAGTGTAAAAACTACTGTTAAATGTTCACATACAGAGAATATATCTATGTATATATCTATATATATGTTCCATTTCATGATATGAGCCAATTCATATAAAGTATTTCAACTTTCTGAGAATGGTAGCTTAAGTTACTGGACAGGTGGAAGAGAGTTGAGGAATGACAGAATATTTAGATGTTATTCACCTTAAATACCGACTCTGTTTTATCATCCAATTTCAGCTCAATAGCTCTTTCTACAATAAACAAGTTTGAAATGCTGGATAACACACTACCATGCAGATGTGGGCGTTTCAGGTTGGCCCCTTCTTCATTCAAAAGATGGAATGATAAATGTTTAAGTGCTACAGAACGAACCCTAAAGGAGTAAATGATCAAAATAAATACATGAAGTCCTTGAACCGGAAAACTTTAGCTTTACAGTTAAGCATTACATAGGTCATAAAATCACTATTTGGAAAATAAAATACTCAAAGCAATCTGCTTTTTAAGTCCCATTGTTCCCATATTGCAAGATATTACTCACAACTGCTTTTTTGAGAAAAGAAGACGGAGAGCTGCCCGTAGTCTAGTAGTTCTAGGGAGAATCCCCTCTCCTTTGTCAGAGGTTGTTTCACTCAAAGTGAGGATACAATTACCTAATGTATCTTTTGCATCAGCATAACCCTAAAAAATTAAAAAGAAACTAAATCAAAAAAAAAAAAAAGTTTCATGAGTAAACTAGACGATATTTTTTTTTTCAGGAATGGGATTAAGGACGAATGGAGAAGCCCCAAAAATACAACAATTTTAATAAAACCAGATATTCCTCCATGAAAACCATTTTTAATAACTACCTTATGCTAAAGAYCCAAAAAAACATGACCCAGGAGTATTTGACCTTTGCCAAATTTTCCATATATTCCTTCAATATTTCAAATTTTAATATTACCAGGCTAAATTTCTTTACAAAACTGAAGAAAGCAATTTTGACTGGCATTAGGACCCATTCAAAAAGATTCCTCCATCTGGCAGCTTAATATTTGTTCATTTGCTTTCCAGTGGTGCTGTTTACATAACGGAATATCTCATACATCAAAAAGCATATTCCTACATAACAGCAGAGGTACCTGTAAAACAGGAATGATGGGATAAAGGGCCTCAATAAACTTGTTCCAAGTCAATACTGTCATTACAAGTCGTCCCTGCAACAGGTACATCAGAATGGACTTGGCAGCAGAGTTCACCTGTTGTTCAATAACAACAAAAAAACAAAAAAATAAAGATGAGACAGCCTAAATGTCTAGGTTAGTCTGTCAATACTGCAGTATAAAGTTGTCTTTGAATTTTATACAAACACAGCTCAAAGGGAAAGAATCTATAAGCGAGATGTACTCCCACTGCAGAATGCTACTTTTAAATTGTCAGTCACAGTAAATATTAAGTTGTAGAAAAGCCTGTCAGAGAAGACACTTCTCCTTTTAACAGGACAGACAAATTCTTGGAATTTAAAGCCTCTAAGCTCAGGATACTAATAAAAAAGTGAAATGCCAAAGATTCATTGCAAGGCTACCTATCTATAAAATACACAGTTAATTTATCTTCACAGCCTTGGAGAGATGACTTCAGAGAGTGTAATTCCTTTTCAGATTACACACACAGCAGTGAGTCTAAGCATAGAATGTGTCAATGGTGAAATGTCACCTTTCAAGATGAAATTGTAATATATCACAAGTATTGGAGGGTTCCCCGCCCCCGGGTAAGAACACATCTGAATTTCATTCAGCATATTTTCTTTTAAGAAAAAGTCAGTCCTGATGACTAATGATAATGACTAATGATAATCTGATTAGTAGATATACATAGGAACAGTAGAAAGAGTAAGCCTGGACATGACTTGAATTATGTATACTTTGCCATATGCCCACTTTGGTAAGGCTGAGTATATTACAGGAAATTATAAAAGTTAAATCTGTAGCTTATTTCATATTCCTTTTGCATCATACTTATAAGATGCTGTTTTGTCTCTGAAAGACCCATAAAGAAATTCCTCAATTTACTACAACTTTACTACACCACACACAAAACTATGCAAGTAGAATATATTTTTGTGTGTATATACACGCGCACACGCAAAACTATATGTAATCCAAACTTCAAGTAAGCCTCCATCCAGAAAACTATTACGAACTACCGTGATGCAGGAACATCGGCTTATAAATATAGCTTAAATATAGTACCTCATCTTTATGTTCTTGAAGACCAAATGTAGAGATTTCATATAAAACTTTGGGATGAAGAAGAAAGTGTACTCCRTGGCAGATTGAAGATACAGGTTTAGCAGCATTATGAATACCTAAACAGTCCTTCAGTGAAAATGAAAGATGGTTAATTTTAAAATTCAAGAATGTCTCTACTATCATAGTTGTTTTATAGGCTGTCAGAGGTTGTCACTGAATGAAAAGCAGCTAAGAGTATACTTCTGAAAGCTAAACATTTTGGTATTTAAACAAACATCTACTGAAACATCCATGTGCTATATAGGCTAAGAAATGGAAAATCATTTTGCTTTGATTTTAGAAAATATTAGAAAATATAAACCAGACAAACTTTATATATCCTTCAGTATTACAATGAAATAAGCAAAACCTAATACAAGAAGGTAAAAATGTCAAAAACATATGCATCATTTGGTGGAGGTAGTTGCTTTTTTTGGTGATAGAGTAGATCAGTTAACTTTTCTTATTAGTGAATTGTGTCACAAATACAATGTTAAGTTTAACAGTGCCTATTATACTAAAAAAGAATGACAAGTCATATGATATCAAAAAAACCTTAAGTTTAACTAACTCCGTAGCTATCCCAAAAAGCTGTGTTCAACCTATTCTAACAAGTACATACTGGCCTCAAGAAAGACAGTACACAAAAAGAGATGATTTTGTTTCAGATTTTCATGAAGTTTAAACAATTAAAACAGAACCTAGGAAAAATATACATTCTGAAAACATCTGTGTTTATTGGTATTCTACCATTTTGTTTTCTTTCAATAAACGACCTTGCAGGAGGCAGTCAGATCAAAAATATTGTGTGCTAATGTTCAATTAAAAATATAATGAAAATGAAAAGGAGCTAAGAAGAGAATAAATCAGCGCAGACATATTTCAGTGGATAAACAAAACTGAAGAATTGGATAAAAAAATAACGATATAAAAGGAGAGCAAAGCTTAGTGTCGCATAAATCCCGGTATATAGCTCACATTAAACAGATTTTTTTTGAAGAAAAATCTTAAACTTGTGACACTAGCATATTTATCTTTATTTAGGCTAACAGTGAGAGCAYGAGTTCTCACCTTCACCACTTGCGAGCAGCAGCGATAGGCTTCGGCTTTGACGGTCAGCGACGGATGAGACAACAGACGGAGAAGCACCTTCTGACTCCTTGTCTGGAGCACTGGGTTAGTCTGGTCAGACTTCCAGCTACAAAGGAAATACAGTTAAATTCACGCAATAAAATGAACAATTATTTGTTTTACGTAAAGTATGAAATTATTTTAAAGTATCCAAAGATGTCTTAAAAGAAACCTTATATATCATAACTATTTGAAAATGCTTTTAAATTCTGTTAGAAATTAGGAACCTGATAAACATGCCTATTCATCTGAAAACATCTCATTCTACAGAGCTCCAGTGGGCTCTGTAGATCATAGTATACATTTAAAAACATTCTATGCTTTCAGAATGCTTTCCTTGTAGAGGTAACCATTACAATTAAAAAAAATATAAGTGAATTTCTTGTTCTTTAAAGCAGTAATCACACAATAATCCTAAAGCACTAGAGAAACATTGAAACACATTTTTACATTTCATATCTTTAAGACAATTATTAGAGTGCTGTTTAATGTTATTTCTTTTGAAACTCTTTATGTGGAATTATGAATCACTACAGTATTAAGATTTTATATCTCTAATCAAGTGCTCAGTATAGATTTTTTTCTAGGCATCACAGGGTGGCTTAAATTCTCATCCTAGAGAGAAAATATCTAAAAAGCAAATAAATCATGTTATTTAATAAATGAGCTGCCATATTGCAGTACACAGCAACTGAATGAAAATAAAGTCCTTTAGGATTTCTGAGGGTAAAATAAAGCAGTTACATAAATACATTTTAAACAAAGGAATTTATTAAAATACTAAATAGAAAGAGAAGACAAAGTTTTAATACAATTTCTCTGTAAACCAAATGGTAACTTTATAAACATAAGAATACTGTGCAAATTCTTGAAAATGAATAATGAATTAGCTTTTTAAGTAGCTGATATTCAACTTAAAATGCAATTTCCAGTAGAATGGTACAAAGAATACTAAGAGATATTTCAATAGTTAAAATTATAAAATTATACATTGCTCAAACATAAAGGATTAAAAAAAGTCTTGAGATCCTACAATTTGAGAAAGCTTTTTTAATAGAAAAGTTTTTGTTTGTTTGTTTTCTTAAATACAAAGTTTTAATAACAGTTTACTTACATATTTGAGCATATCTGGATGCATTCCTGAAGAAATGGAAAGTGCTGATGGTAAGGAAGACTGTTTAAGGCCTGATCTGCCAATTCTATTAATTCAAAAAGATTCTTATCCCCCTGAAATGCAAAATAAATGSAAAGGACTATCAGCATTCGCATTATTAACCATAAAAAGTTCTTACACAATCTTTCAAAATGTATCATGTAACACATCTACAAAACTAGGTTTAGTTCAGTCTTTCTTAGAAAAGTTAAGCATTTAACTCGTTTCACTACAAATTTACAAACAAATACATTTTAGTACCTGCTCTTGTCATAGTTGAATCCAAAATAAAATTTTGAAATTATGAATTTCAAATTCATAATGAAAATATGAAATGCAACGGGAATAAATAGTGGCTGATGTTTCTTGGCATGAGCACAGTAACACTAGTGAAAACACTTTTTAAAATGCTCAAAAACAGTTTTTCTTTTGATTTTTTTTCTCCAAAATTGAAATACTTTTTTAAAGAATATATTCATTTTTCATGGGAAGAGTACAATGCAGAATTGAACTACATTTAACAATTCACTATTAGCACTAAAGAATGACACTTCAAAATGAGGTCAAAGTGTCTTCACACTTCTCATTAATAGATGGCTAAAAGCCCCCAAATTTAAATGACTTAACTTCACTGTAAAGTATATTTTATAACTAAGCTGTTATTTRTACTAAGTTCAAAACTTGCCAAAATAATTTTTTAAAAAATAAACTAGCTCAATTCATCTTTTTTAATACTTTACGTTGCCATAGTTTATTCATTTATATTTCCTACAAACAGATAAAGCATTTTGCACAAGCATTACTTACAAATGGACTATGTAGACAATGGAAAAGAATAGTTTAAGACTATGATGGAAAGCCTTTACTTATAAGACAAAATATATTCATTGTCTCCATAATGAATAAGCACACAGATAATTATCTCACACATTCTAGAAGAAATTTTACTTAGAGGTAGAATTGTCAGGTAATAAGAAATTAAAATATCCAAAATTAATGAATCTTGTGTTTGCATCAGGGAGAGGGGGACATGGAAGAAATAAATTTGCCTACAGAAAATATGTTGTCTAATAAAACTTCACACCTCCTTATGAGTTTCCATCATAAAGCTACAAGTGCATTCAATCGAATAAGCACATTCTGAGGCTTGTTTATAAATACTGTAGTTTTCTGAACTCATCTGCTCCAAATATGCTGCTGTAGATTCATGAACATTTGGATATTCCAAGGAGAAGGGCATATCCAGAGACAGGAGAAATAAAGCATCCACCAAATGCTTCGGTAAAACTTGACTTGCCTTCAAAAAAATGAAAGGGACCGTCAGAATAAAATAGAATGAATGACTCTCAAATAGAGTAAAAACAACAGCATTTTCAGTTATTCAACAATCACAATCACTGGTCTTTTTGTAATTTATAAAAGAGACATATATCAAAGGAGTTATTATACGAATAAGTGAGAGATAGTAAATACCACTTTTGAGTCACATCTACAAACAGTAACAGAGGATGTATCAGGTCCAGCCACAACATGAACCGCACAGACTGCCTAGGTCAAATTACTGTCAAACCACTAGATGGCAGAGAACACACAGATCACAATTCTTCCTATATTTTAATCACTAAAAGCTGTCAAAAAACCCGCATAGTAATATATATCATACTAAGAATGGTGTTATGTTTGTACTTTTCTTTTAGGTTATTTATTACAAGTGTTCTTTTGCTAAAATTTGTGACCTCACACTAAAAATTGTTTCTGCACAGAATTAGAAATTCCACATCAAGTATATAAGAGCATAGCAATCAAAAAGATAAAATCTTATTGGATTAGTATTTCTGTATTTATTTTCAGGGACAAGAGACTACTTGCATTAATAATAAAATATTTCATGTTTATAAAAAAAATCCATAACCAAGTGAATCTGAGTACTAGACTGAAAAAAAAAAAAATCTAAGAGAGCAACCTTACAACACAGTGATGGAAACAGAGTTTCTTGGGACTTTTAAACGCTTTAGATGCTCGAAATATCTTCTAAWATCGTCTATCCCACAAATACTTCCAGATCAGATCACATCAGGTCCCTGTCTAAACTCAAAAAACAGCTCACAAGATAAAATACAGAAAATTTCAAGAACATTAGAATCAAAAAGGACTTAAAAATCACTATAAAAATGTTAAAATTATTTGCTATGTTCCATCAAATACATTAAGAGACAGAGATGATTACAAACAGTAAGCAGAGATGATTACAAACAGTGCTTACTAGAAACAAGCAGAGGGCAGCACAGCTTTGCCAACCACACATACCTGATTAGAAAATGCTATGGGAGAAAATAGAATATTGAATTCTGAAAACCTCACTAAAATAACAAGTATATTAGATAATGCCTGAAATCTGCATCACCCATCTGAACAATGCGCCGAAAACTGAAGATAGGGCAAAGTTGCCTTCTGTGTTTAATCCACAACCAAGGTAAAGTCAGGTGAACTTTGCTAGCCACAGAGTATTCTATCAGCACTAATCATGGCAAAAGGTACCTCTTAATAAATTAAACACAAACACTTCTAAAATTAGTGATGACCTACCTTTTCTACAGGCAGAAGCATTTGCAGCAGCCTAACAGTGAAAAGGGAGATGCTGATAAATGCCATTCTGTGATGCACCACTATCACCTCAGGCTGCTCTGCAGTAATGTTGCTTTTGTGATACAATATAGTTTCTCCAAGCAAATCAAACACCATAAGCAACTTGTCCTTCTGAAAAGGAAATCAAAGATACAAGCATTAGAAATAATTGCCATAATATTATTATAATATCTTGAAATGCTTATACAGTATCTGTACTATCTTGAACACAATTATACCAACTAATTTAAAAATGAAGAAATAATACATAATACATGGAGTTTCATTTATCCTCAAAACAGAAGTTTGCATTACAGCTATAGACTTGATTGCGTTTTCACTTGTAGTTCTGAATACATTATTCTGTAATTACCCCTTAACTGGTTGCTCTCTACCCCCATTTTGTAATTTCCTCCTTTCTGTTTTTGAACTTTTGACATTCAATGTCGTATATAAAAGGGTTTTGAAGTTCACTTTTAATATAGAAATCTTACGATTTAATTTGAATCTGCTAATGAAAGATAACCATAAAAAAATAAGTTTACACACTCGCATAGAGTTTTCAAAGCATCTAATGCTTTTATAAGATTATTTCTAATAATTTTTCTAATTAGATACACTTTTCTTCAATTTATTAGATCATATCAAAACCTAGAATCTCTATCATTTGGAAAGTTAAAGGGAAAAAAAGAAAAAAGATCATCGGGAGAGAGCATGGTAATTTTCTAGAATTTGGTCATCTGAAAAAGCCAAGTTTGTACGTAGGGACACCTAATCCTGCCTTAGTTCTGATTGACCGAGCAGGTGTATAAGAGATTTAGCTTAGTACTTTTACAAATGCATTAAGATCTATAGTCTGACTCAACATGGCAAAATTTGAAAGAATTATCATTATCATATAGTTATCATCAAAAATCATTTCACAGCATGAACAGGTTGCAAGCTCATTTTAAAAGTTCAAGAAACAAATTGCTTCCTGCCCTAATACAGTTGGCAAAGGCAGGTGAARCCTCAGCTTCAATACTCTGGGAATCTCAAATCAGCAGCTGAATCAAACAGATCATTCTTCCCTAAAGGATATCTGTCTCAAAACAAACGATGCAAAAACTTTAGAGGCTACAGTTGCTCTACAGATGCAAACTTTTGTGATATAGTGCAAAAATCAAATCATACTTAAATACATATTGAAAAGTAAGAAAGGAATAACAATTTTACATGGGGATGTTACTGAAAAAGCTGTTTTACATATATACATCCACACACAAACAAATTTTTGAAAGGAATTTCCAATATATGCATGCATATATTTCTGTAAGATATACTTTTTCATAGATTTTTTAAAGCACATTTCAAACAAATGGTGTCAGAGAATGAAACTATGCAAGAAACACTTTTAAGTTTCGTAGACAAGCGAGACATTGCCTCTTTCCCTTGGAACTAATAAAAACATGCTTTTTCTTTGTTTTGTAAGAACCAAGGAATAACACTGATGATTTAAAAAAAAAAAAAAAAAAAAAAAAAAAAAAAAAAAAAAAAAAAAAAAAAAAAAAAAAAAAAAAAAAAGGATATAGCAGTAAATACCATCTAAGTAAGCTTAACAGTTGTTTCCTGGAATTATTCACTATATTCAGTTATCTGCTATCTAGTTATTCACTATATTCAGTTATCTGCTATCTAGTTGAAGGTCAGAAAAGAGAGAGATGTTTTTTAAACCTCCTGCATGGCCAATTGATTTATAAAATCTAGCTTTACTTCAGCTTTATTTGCCCTACACATAGGTGTATATATAGGCAGAGATATGAACACACACATACATATATACCAATACTGTACTTAACTTGATGGCAAAATTATATTTCCCAGTAACATGATTTTTTTTAGATCATGATTTTTCTTCTAAGAGCTATCTCAAATAATAATACATAATATATACCATTAACATACCACAAATAGTTGTATATAATACCACTTAAAGCTTCTACAGTAGTTGGACTGATTTGGATGCAAAAGGGTTATTTCCCCCACATAACAACATTCTTTATTCCATCAGTATATTTGTTCAGGTAATACAACAACCAGATGACAGAATTTAATGCTAAAATTTTTACAATAAGTGTTGAGAAAGGTTTCTTCAGCATAGATTAATGCTGATGAATTGTAACAGACTTTAACAAATGAGTGTCAGTATACTAAAAGTCCCCATTCAGTGCTAGGCACTTCTAATAAGATAGATTACCTGCAGCAGATAGTACAGAGTAGGAAAGGCTACAAAAAATACTAAAAAATTAAAGACTGTAAAAAATGGTTCAGATTCTGTAGCATTTTCATGCTACCTTACAAGTCACGTTCATTCAAGATTAAGCTTAACTGAGATTTTTAGACAGATTCTCTGCAACTCTGATATCTACATACACATATCATGCTAGCTAAAATGTTTCACTCATCTGCAAGAGGCAGGAAGTCACACATTGTTATTCTATCTGGTAGTTAATTACTTGATATGTTATAAAAACTTCACAAGTTAAATGAAATAATAATGTAAATAAAGTGAAAACCTTCATCTAAATCAAACTGCTCACCTAACATCTGCAGTTAGTGCTTTTTACCTTGCCTCAASGTCCCTTCCCTTATAGCTACTTCTCTTAACATAACGGCCTTTTACGCCATGGCAAAAAACCACAATGACTTGTTTTGTTGAGATGAAGTTTCAGTGTCCTCTAATATGAGKTTTTATACTTAAAACATATAGAAGGTGGCAGTAGTAAAACCAATACTAAACTTTTAAGATCTGAAAGTGGTAGCTCAGCAGAAGATTACATACGTATATGAACTACTGCAAGATAATGTCCGAGGCTTACAAGAGCAGGCTGTTAAACATAGCTGAAGAAAGCCTAAATAAAAATCTCACCAATTCCAACCCAAAAAGGCTATCATCTTCCCAAACATCTTCAGAAATAGCATCACCAATAAGGTACATATCTTCAACAAGCAGTTCAAGAACTTCCACTGTCACTCTCCTACTGCCTAGGAACACAAATACAGAGACAGAAAAATTCAAAGTCACTTTAAACATAAGATTATTCCAAATGTGGAATTCTGAGATTTTAGTTTTCCTGCACATTTCTTCCAATTTAGTTGACGCTAAATGCCATCAACTAGCATGGAAGGTGAATCATCAAAGCTGACAACTAGCCAATATAACAGAAAAGACTGATTTAGTCTTTAACTGAAAAAAGTCTGTATTTGCTAATAATTTGTAGTAAATGACTAAGGTCAAGAGAAACAAGGAAAAACAAAATCGATCTGAAAATGAAACATTATTTTTAAGATACAATTTTGAAAAATGGAAAAACTTTCAATTTGAACATTTAAATTATGTGGCAAACTACAGAACTATATGAAATTATCTTACTGTCATGCCTTGAAAATGGATTATAACCCTAGAGTTAGACAAACAAATAAACAGAACAGCTACCAGTGAAATTCTGTCCTGTTTTGTCTCAAAATGAAACATCACTAAAATTGATCACATCATCCTATAAGGAGGCATGTTCCCATTGTTTCAGTAAATGAAAATGCAATTGCATTTCAAACAAATTAGATGAAAATTAACTTTTCAGATTAACTTTCCCACTGAAATTCTCCAGCACATCATTAAACATTTAAACAACAACWAAAAAACCAATAAACTGCAAAGACAAACACATTTTTCAGTTTATCAATTAATGTAACAGACAGGTTACACTARTTTTGTTAAAAATGAGCAACTGTAGTCCTCTATCCACTTAAAAATGTTTTCTTTAGTAAGGTCTTTGCAGGAAGCAAACAGATAATATGCAGAAATTACCTGTGCATAGTTGTTTTGTTGTTTACAAAAGCAAACTTAATCAGAATATAAAAAGACATTAAAAATTTTTTCTTTCTCTCTGTGGGTGTGTATGGATGGATAGATTGACAAATATCTCTATGTCAAACTTCAATGATCAAATAATGTTCTGATAATTGATAAAAACCATGCTTAATGCATGCTTAATGCTTGGCATCATTGGGTTTGTCTTTATACATAAGAAATGCAGCTATTCATTTTCTAAAAATGGGTTTTGAATGTTATTCTATAACAGCTGAAATATCTTGAAAAAACTAAAGCATCTGAGCAAAAAAMCATATTCTTCCTAAAATATGAAGATTTAGCAAATAGATGCTCAGATTCTACAATTGTTGCAAACAGAAAACATAGGAACCTAGAAAAAATATTTTCTGTCATAAAGGAGGAACTGACAGAAGTCAAAAGAATGTCTTGAATACAGTGATATCTAAGTATCACTATCTTGAAAAAAAAAGTTTTATTTTGTSAGCTTTTTGTATTTACAGAGAAAGAAAAAAGAAAATACGCTTTCAATTAGTTTACTGAAGGACAAAGCTTAATATTGATTTACAGTCAAATATTTAAGGAGTATTTTGTGGTACCAAAAAGAGTAATGAGTTAAACAGGCATAAAATATCACTAAATATCAATACATTTCATTCTATAAATTCATGTCCCAAATCAATTCAGAAACTGTTGATAGGCATAGTCTGGTCATAGACAGATATTTCAAATTCCCTATATTTAAAAACCTTACCACTTTCATCAGTATATAATTTGAATGACATTGTTTTACAACTAAATTTTATTTTTGATAGCCTAGGATGAAAAAGACTAGATATTCAAAAGGTTTTGCAAGTCAGAACATTCATAAGTTTAACTAAGAATCATTACTGATATTAAGATAGAACCATTACCTATAAAAATTAGTAATTAACACACATGTATGGTTTATTACTGAATACAAAAGAAAAATAAACTTAAGAATTTATTATTTCCTGCACAGAGGGAAATAATATGATCAAAGAGATTTAATAAGAGAGTTTAAAACAAAACCCATCTTCTTAGGAGCGTTTTGTTTCTTTCCCCTCCCTCTCGAGTGACACTTTGTTCTGCCAAACAAGTGTTCCCGTATAACTATTTCTTCCTACTTCCCACCACTGCTCCCCCATCACTAGTAAAAAGCAGACACAATTTCTGCAGCACATCCAGAAATGACCAGAAGCGTCTGCCTTGAAGACTTAAACAAAACCTTTAARCTAGAACTGCTCTGATTTGTTAATACACTTTGGTAATCATACGTATCCGGTCATTCAAGGTACTCGCTTCATCACACTAACATCCTAGAAAGTTYACACAGAAGACGGCTTAAGAAAATAGTATCAAGCTCCCTAAGTTAATGTGAAGGAGATACATAAGTAACACATTTCATTCCAAACTYTCGCACCTGTTCTTAGAAGAGGCACAGCACTTTCTAGGACCAAAACACAGAACTGTGGAAGGCTGAGCTGTTTCATCTGTAATTCCAAAATATCCTCATTTTCAAGATCTGGCACATCAGCATGTCCAACATCAAATGGGGAGTGGAGAGATAGTCTCGAGTTTACATTTGCTTGACTACTGTTTCCACTTAAAGAAAACAAAAACAAATTTTAAAGATAAAATTTTCTTTTTCCAAAGAAGAAAATCCAAAGATGTTAATCAAACGACACCAAGTATTTTAACACCTCCTTTCCTTCCAGAGTTTTTCTACTCTCCTGCAAAGTTGCAGAGAAAAGACGGTGTTTGTTTTTTTAAAATTGCAGAGTTGCTAGCGTGACAAGTGAATGCCTAGCRTTTTGGCAGTAGTCTGCCAAAAAAAATTTAATGTAAATGTTTACACAACACAATAATTTTGACTATGCAGTATAGTGACCTATGAAATACTCATTCAACTTTTGAGAGACTTTTTGACAGAGCTGCTGAAGCAAAAAAACATGACTTCAGTATTTGTTTAGACAGTAGTCTTAATAAATCTAAGTCCATGTATTACAAATGTACGCACAATGAGCATAAAAAAAATCTCATRATATCAGTCAGTGTTAAGTTTATTAGATACAGAATAAGGTAGATAAACTGATCTTACATATCTCTAATACTATTTAAAGAACTAACTGCCTTAATCTAATTCTTTGTGTCRTTTATCAGCTTGCTAGAAYTTAAATCACGTATATACGGAAAGCAATTAAGACACTCATATTCTCCCACAAACCAGAGTGCAGCAGACAACATAATTCTATAGCAATCACTTTAATTAAAACATAAAATTATTTTATTCACCTGGAAGAAGCTGCATCCCAGTCTTGACCATCTCCTCGAGGCCGCTGAACCGTCCGCCCAATGACAGACGGCCGAGGGCTGCTGCTTCCAGGGGACAGATTCTGAGAATGAGGAGGACCTCTTGCTTCTTGACAGTAAGAGACAGATGAATTCTGGGAAGCTGTGCCTTGAAGTAACATAAATAAAATTAACATTTCTAAGTTAACATATTTCAAAACCAATACATAACRCATTACTGGAATCCATAATTCTGAAAGATATTAGGTAAGGATGTAAAAGCAATTAAGGTAGGATATGGCAAACACCAAGTAAATATTAGCAGTCTAGGACAATGTAGCACTCAGAAGTAGCAGAGTTTTGACACTCAATTCCAGTGCAAACACTGAAAGTTAGAGTTAAGTCACAATTCTAACTTTTTAAAAAAATTTTACTAGAATAATTTCTTGATGTATTGCATTAATTCTGCTTTAATGTGTTACAATCACACAGTGCAGGAAAACAACACCGAGTTATATAAGGTTCACATGAATGTTTCACAAGCTTTGGTAAATTGAAGTTAAGCATAAACAAACCAAATTTTAAAATGGTCTCATACTCTATCAGAGTAAAAATATTAAAACATATCAAAAAGGAGCTGATGTGAAGAACTGACCAAAATACAAACATACCTAGTGTCTGACTACGGTTATTAGATTTGCTCATGTTATAATTGAATTAGCAAAGAAACGGCCAACAGAATTTATTGAGATTAAGACACTAAGCATAATGACAAGCTTATGAAGAGAATCAGAATACCAATTTAGAGAAACATAAAGTTGATTAAATTCAGCTGACAATATGGAAACAGGAAAATTACAACTAATCTACATTATTAAATCTACAAAATTTAAGCATTAAGAACATTGTGAAACAGCCATAATGACTGCAATATCTGAAAACTACTTTCAGCTATTGGAATAGAGGACAAGTTAGCATGGCTCATCCAGTTCACAAATATCTTGTCAAAAGCACTAACAGCTTGAAACTTTGATCTGCAGTAGTTACCCATTTTTTGGGCTGCAGTAGCTACCCACTTTTGTTTTACAGACTTTTAAATTTAGTTAAAAATTCATCTGACATACAAATAATTGGACGCAGGGAAAAGCAGATGCATAAAGAATCACTGGAAACGATCCAAAAGAATATTTCAAGTAATCCAAGTACCTCAAAACTACTTACTAACATAAACAGCATCCACAGGCTAGTACTGAACACCATTATGGAGCAAGAATTATACAAGTCTYCACTTATTATAAAGTGATTTTTAAATAAAATTATAATCTTACTTATAGTAAAAAAGAAATATAATTTTAAAGTATTTTTAAAAACCCACCTTGCTCACTGCAGAAGAAATTCGGATCTCTGTGAAAATTAAGTCTGTTTCTTAAGAAGAGGCAGAGCTGTTGCATGCATGACACAGCCTGCAAAGCTAAGCGATGTCTTCCATCTCCTCCAAAAGCCAACTTGAGCAGAGACAGAAGACTCTGCAAATACAGAACCATTAACATTGGTAGATTAACATTAATACACCTCAATAAACAATCACTACAGAAAAATCTTGATATACAGTTTTAAAATGTTTCTAGGTGCTTAAAATTCACTTCAAAAAAAGACTTAATTACTGTTTTCTTATTAAAAGCAAGACTATCACTCCTAAAGAAAAAGCTGAGTTCCATACTACTATAACGAAGTTTCTGTACTGACATGTTTTCATACTTTTATTATAAGAGTCTACTAAAGAATGCATAGAGAGTATGACAAAAATGGATTTTCTTATCCAGAAGAAATTAAGTATTACTTCACAATACACTTGATTGACAATTAGCAACAGAAATGATGACAATCAAATAATTTTCAAAATACAACTTATAGCAAACATTCTTTTTGCTACATATCTACAGTTTACACTGACTTAAAGACTTTTCTTTAGTTGTTCATAGCAGTGACTAGAAACAAACTGTATCATTGTATCAGTTTTAACTTGGTACAAGTTATGACAAGTACAACAAGTAACTAATCTTGATCTCACCTGTACAATATTCGGTCTTTGAAGGAAGATCTCAGCAGGAAAATCTTGCATAATGACATCCTGGAGAAGTTCACATGTATTCCAAATTAAACTGTGGTTGTTACTTCTCAGAGAGCTAAATGCAGTTCATATTTAAATATGCAACAAAAACATTAATCACCAGCTTAGACAAGTTTTTACAAGAAAATTATAATTACAGCACTGCACACCCCAGTAATGCTGCAACACCACTGCAAACTTGAGTTTCTCCTTACTACTCAATTTCATCTCTCATCAAACCAAATGTAAAATTAAGTTCCTAGAAGAGAAAAGGTTTGATTCATTTTGAATTTGAAATTATGATAACAAAAGTCAGAAATTCCATGAAAGCACAGCCCTCTACTGTAAAGAATCCAGTGCTTACCAGTAAGAAAGCTTTTCATTAGCAAGGTTCTCGTAAAACTTACTCAAATTGCACTTTGTGAGAAGTTACAAAAAGGAAGAAATTTAGTCCCTATTTGCTAAAGCTTTATCTTATTATAGAATCATAACCTTTCAATTATTCTACTTTACTTTTGTATTTTTTCTGTTTTAGAAACAACCATTAAAAATTAAAATATGCTCTGCTTCAAGGATCTGTTTTTTTCTTCACTGACATAAACTTGAGAGGAGAAAAAAAAAAAAAAAATCACTCTAGAAGGAAGACCTTAAGTGGTCAAGGCCTGAATAAAATACTGTAGCTAAATTTACTGCTTAAACCCAGTCAAACTACTAGTAGAAGTATGGACTTCTCTGCTAAGTGGTCCTGAGGCAAAGATAAGATTTTGTTGCAGGTTGTCACAAAATCAGAGAATGGTTGAGATTGGAAGGGACCTCCAGAGGTCATCTAGTACAACCTCTGCTCAGAGACATCCACCTACAGTATGCGGCACAGGTGGGTTTGGAAGACCTCCAGAGAAGGAGACTCCACAGTCTCCCTGCGCAGCCTGTTCCAGGGCTCTGTCACCCTCACAGTAAAATTCCTCCTCACATGGAGATGGAACTTAATGTGCTTCAGCTTACACTCATGACCCCTTGTCCTATCACTGGCCACCAATGAAAAGAGTTTGGCCCTTCCTCCCTACATTTTCCTCTCAGTTATTTATACATGTTTACAAGATCCCCTCTCAATCTTCTTTCCTCCAGGCTAAACAGGTCTAGCTTGCTTAGTCTATCCTCGTATGAGAGATGTTCCGTTCTCTTAATCATCTTGGTTGCCCTCCGCTGGACCCTCTCTACAAGCTCCCCATCCCAGACTCAACCCAATACTCCAAGTGCAGCCTCACCAGAGCTGAGGAGAGGGGCAGGATCCCCTCCCTTTACCTGTTGGCCACAGTCCTCCCCATGCAGGCCAGGATCCCATTGGCCTTCTTGGCCACAAGGATACATTGCTGCTTCATGGGTAACTTGTTGTCAAGTTGCTATCTAAAAAAACTCTCCATAACTCAAAGTTAATTGAGTAACTCTTCGTCCTAGCTTGACAAATTTAAAGAATCAAGCATCATGAACCAAAAATATGCTTTGAATTAGACATCCAGTATGAAGAGAGACATTAACGGGAAATTGCCTTGTTACAACTCATTGTTTATCTGCTCTGCCAAAATTCAATGCAGTTTTTATAAAAAGTTATCAAAGATTAACTTGTTAACTTATTTGCAAGAAGAGTCTAATGATATATAAGAACAGGAAGTTTGAATCACTAGAATCAAAGAAAAAAAGAATTCAACTTAATCGTAATGTTCTTTTAACTGTACCTTTCATTTGATGAAAGGACATGTCTATCTGTTGAGGTTAGAGTTAGCCAAGGAAACGTAGAAAACTTCAAGCATTTTACTGTCAAAAAAAAAGTACATATTTGAAGTATATAAGGCTGTAACACATGGCATTTCTAGATTTTCTGAAAAGTATTAACATTTTAAACTATATTAAAATGTTTATAGCATACTGTAGCAGAATTTATTTATTTTACTATGGTTATGTAACCTATTTAGAAAAAGGCGAGAAAGATTCATAACGATCACAAATGATGATTCATAAATATCAACATGTTATCTGTAATGAAATTTAATGTAAATTACACCTCTAAAAACTTTAACATATTTGCATTTCATAATTACACATACCAATTGTTCTTTTGGGAGGTATTTCTAACTGCTGCACATGACTTCCATCTTGACAAAAGTATCCAGTGAATAACTCCTCTTGAGGTAGARCTAAAATAAAGGATAAGTTTTAAAATGCACAGTAAAAAAAGAGATTTGCATTCAAGGAATGTGAACTGCTTCCCTTTTGCCCTTCAATTTTAACTTACTAATGAAACCCATTCAAAATAGTTTCAGATGGTCAAGAGAGGAGGGTGAAAAATAACTGCATTTTTATAATCACATTCTGCAATTAAGCTTTTTCCATTTCCTTATGCTGCTTTACATACTAAATAAACAATAGCAAATCAATTACACAAAATGTAATTGTTTACAACATTACTTATATACTAAYAGATTTAATTTTTCAAATCAACTATTTAAAATGTCATTCTACCAATACTGCTCTCTTTTGGTCAATTAAGAAGTTGTTTTGTAGGGAATGCAACATGCGCATTAATATAACAATTACAATATACAAGGTACACAACAAGAAAAGAAGTATAAGTTACATAACATTATAAACAATCTTTGAAACACAGATAATAGCAATACTTGGTTCAAAAAATACAACCAGATAATAACCAGGTTATAAACATAAGTCTTTTTCTCAAAAAAAATCTCTGCTGATAAATATTCAGTTTAATCTACACATCTGTATAATTAACAGTATAAACAGGTATTATTYGGGTAGATTAGAAAAGATATAGTTTAAGCATGCATATGCAAAAGATTATTGTATATTTTTTATTCAGTGGCAATCTTAACGCAGAAAATAATCTAGCTAAATTCTTGTGGGGGAAAAGAGGAGAGCAGCAGAAAAAGAATAAAATAAAAATCAACAAGCAGCCAGCGCACAATTTGCAGCAAACTGAAATTCCAAAGTTTGGAAAGACTGCAGGAACCATAGAAAAATTACTCCTTCCCTAAGAGTGCGCTGGATGRATGCAATCACCGTTGGCCATTTCTTCATTGTGTTGTAAAACAGCAGTGTCTTTCCCACAACAACCAGAAGCATTTACTAAGGATTCTCCATGCTACATAATCTCCTTCCTTATCATTTTCTGTCTAAATACAGAAGGCAGAAGAGGAGAGTGATGTGGGTTTGCTTCTTGACTCCATCTAGAGTGGTGCTATAAATAATGATCATGACTACAGCACAACAGATTGAGTTGTCTGTTTGAAGAGGATAGATAATTACAGCACCTCACACGTTTTAGGTAAACATTATATGCATTTTACTATGACAAGTGTTTATTCAAACTAAACAGATAAAAAATGGTTTAGTGTTGTGTGCAATAAAAACACTTCTAACTATGATCAAATCTACTTCTACATTTTGATTAAATTTCCCTCTAARTTAAGCCTAATTTATCCAGGCAACAAGGCATATTTGCATAAGTACTGAACTACTCAAAAATTACAAAACTTATTGCCATAAAGCAGTCTTTTGAAGTTATTCTTGTGCCATGTTAAAATGTGTTAAAAACACAAAGAAAAGGACAGAGAAGGTCTGATAAAGGAATGAGGACAGGAGCAGGTCTGTTAAGTCCCAATTCCAATAAAGTAGTGGCTATAACCAGCTAAGCTAGGTTTAGGTTAATACTTTTTCCTAACAGAATCTACTTTGCCATATAGTTCGTTAAATTACAAAAATATATTTGCCTATTAAGTCATAAAAAACAAAACAAAAACAAACAAACAACAACAAAAACAGCTTTTCACAACCCAGCTTTTCATTTACTTTCTCATTTTAAAAAAGCGACGCCCGATTTACCTGAACGATCTACTGAAGGCTGAGGCCGAGTTTGATTGCACACTGACATATAACTAGAAGGAATTCCAGAAGGAAGCAAGAACAGTCCATCCACAATCCCGTCAATTACAGCCTGTAAATTTGGTTCCACGTTGGGGCGAAGCTGTGAGAAGAATTCCACTGCACCAAYTGCAATCATCTGCTGGGCAGCAGATGGATGCTATATTAAAACAAAACAAAAACAATCAAACAAACCAACCAACTGAAAAAGAGGAAGTTAGCTAGAAGGGTCTCACAGTTTTCAAAACAGTGGGAAAAAAAAAGAGAGTTTTTGACCAATATTGAAGCCGTGAAGTCAGATTTGGCTTCTAACATTCTGTAACACTATTCATCACTGCAAAGGTGGAGTTACTTTCTTTGCTTCTCTGCATAGTTGAGGTTTAGTTATTAAAAAATGAAAGAATTTGAGATCTCTGTTCTGCAAAGTGTTCTCAACTATTCTAAAATATATTTTATCATCATTTCAATCTTCCCATTTCAGGAACAGAGCAAATGCAAATTATGGTCACAGAGGAAATCAAACACTAAGTTATAACACAGCAAGTCACCCAAACTGTTTTCATTTCCATTTACACAGCAACTCCTTTTTGTGTAAAGGCTCATTACAAAGGCCTGCAAAATAGAATATTCCCCAACTTCACTTAGATTTAGCAGCCTAAAGGTATACACTTTAAGTAAAAATAGATGTTTCACATCGTACCTTAATCAAATTGTTCATGAAATTTAGAATTTCTTCCTTCATTGGTACCACTGGAAAATTGAACCACTCCAAAAGATTAAGGAAAAGCAGCTTTTCATGGACAAGATCAGCATATGCAATCAAGTTATGATCTAGTTTAAACAGAATATTCTTCAGAGATCGCTCTCTTATCTCTGCCAGCTCATGACCTGTTTCCAAAAATGTATATATAAAGAAAAAAAAAATTATCTCAGGTAACTGATTTCATATTTAGACAAGAAGAATACTGTCACTGATTCGTGAAAAGCTTGCAACTGTCAGTGTTGTGCTTACCAGGAAAACAACTACAACTGCACTCCACAGCACTATACTAGTCAAGCATAAAAGGAACAAAACATTTACAGAATGCAGCGACATGCACAGGTGGCAAACGCAGAACAAGAGGGCCTCACAAGAAGAGGACACAACACTGGAGGGACCCCAGTACCTCCCAGGGAATCACCACTGGGTGCTTGTCACGCGCTGTGCCCCGCGGATCCGACACGAGCTACAGCGAAAAACCAGAGCCGGGAGAGTTGGATCCCCCGCCCGGAACAGGGGAGTCGCTGCTCTTTCCCGTGTGGGGAGACATCGCTCCTTGGGAGAGCGGGACGCGCAGCGAGGGCTCGCCGGCGCAGAGGAACGACAGAGAGCCGCAAACAACCCCCCGTCGTGGTCCCCGCAGGTGCTCGGCGGGGCAGGGCCGGGACAGCGGCAGGGGGGCCACGGTGGGGCCGTTACCGAGCTTCCTGACGAGCACAGACAGCTCCATGGCGCCGCTCCCCGCCGGAATTCAACCGCCGCGCCGCCAACGGCCGCTGCCGCGCCGCAGCGCACGCTGGGAAATGTAGTCCCGGTCAGCTCCGGCCGCCACCAACACCCCCTCGGCTGCGCGCAAAGAATCCCGGGAGTTCTCTTCCTCCGTGCTCCCGGAAGTTGCGTACCCCGCGGGCTGCGGCGGGAATGGGAAGGACTACAACTCCCGTCGTGCCCCGCGCCCTGTCACCGGCCCCCGGCGCCCCCCGGCGGCCGCCGATTCACCGACTACCTCGGCCGCGGCCAGAGGGGCGGGTTTATTGCCGGTGTTTCCAAAGCGGAAGGGATGAGTTTGGAAAACGAAGCCGTCAGAGGATTTTGTGTCGTCGTCCTGATGTAAAGAATCACTGTTTTCCCCGCTCCTCAGGTTTTCTTCCAATAAGACTGCCCCCCCCAAGTGCCTCCAGATATGGAGTGTGAATGACCTATAAGAGGAGCTTAGAAGTTACTCAAACATCTATAGGAATATTTCTTTTTCTGAGAGAAGGAACACTTAATGTGGATTTGTATTCCAATAACAATAACTCAAAAAAAAAAAATAGTGTGAAGCAAACTTCAGATGGAAACACCCAATTATTAGTCCATCTCTGACAGCTTGGTGTCAAACTGCAAGCTCTTCCCATCAATATCTGACACAATACCGAGCTGCACTGTTTACCACAAAAGTAATACTTTACTCTGAAAATCTGTGTACTCCYAGCCTTACGGTTTGAAAAGCAGTAACTCCATAGCCTCGCCATGGTCCTGGCGGGTAGTTCAACATCATCTTCTTACTGTCTGACCGCGTTCAGAAAAATAAGCGCATCTGCAGCCGTTGCCATCCGTACCCACAAAGCAGTTGGCCATCTGATATTCTGATCTGATATTCTGATATTCTGATATTCTATATCTCACCTGCAGCTTAAATACGAACTCTGCTCATAATGCTGGGAAGATGAACGCTGTCATGCCTCMTTGTTTATTAGTATCTTCATCTTTTCCAAGAATGAGTATTAGTTGCACGAGTCCAGGTGGTCAGGAAGGAGCTCGTGTTCTTCAGTCTTTAGTGCCCTTATGACTGGGATTTGGAAGCCAGGGAATGATTTATGTTTATAGTAATAACTGAATACTTGCTAATGTGTCTTTGATGTGCCTGCAAATAGCTCTTGCTGACTCATATAAAGCCACTGGATAAATGGGATTAAGCAGGGGGAATTATGAAGATTTTTTTTTTTCTTGTGTTTATTATCTGGACTTCTGAATTACATTGCCTTATTCCTAGCTCAAGTCAGTTCCACAAAGCAGAGTATGCACAGAGGAAAGAATCACAATATATCATAGGATGCCTGAACAGAAGACTGAGTTGGTGTTTTTTTTTTTTTTTTTTTTTTTTTTTTTGAAAGATAGTTCTTATTTCATAATTGGAAAAAAATAAACTGATGACAGGATAGCAAGTGTTGGATGTTGCACTTGTGTAGGCAATGCAAAAGTTTTTGCGTGTGTCTGAAGGTGAATAAATCAAACGGCTGTATAATCTTCATGGGGTTTTTTTTTTGATGTCAAATAATTGCATAAGAAAAATAAAAACTCAAGACATAAAAAGATATAGAATATGCACCTGATTTCTAAAATGGTGTATGTCACACTCAGTTTTTGCCTAGTTGTAGTTCTACCCTGCTCTCTGTCATTGTGCTGTTATTTCACAATAAGCTTAAATTAATGCCCTCCATCTGCTGTATCCAGCCTCTCTCTACTAAATTCTTAATTGTAACTCAGAACAGGCCATCATTTTGGATCAGTGAAGTAATAAAACAAAGTCACCATATTAAACTAATTGTAAATGAACTTTGCTTACTGCAATTAGCTTTTTTTTTCCACAAGAGGCTGGATCTGTCAGTACTTTTCAAGTGCAATTACAAAGGAAGCATCACTGGCTGCGTAAAATTCCTTTTAGCTGTGAACTGTATGCATATAAAATGAAAACTGAAGTATTCCCATCATTCAGGTTTGCTCTCCTGTAGTGCTGCTCACATTTCCCACAGTCGGCTTGGTATAAGCTTTATGAGATGCCATACAATAAATTTACTCTAATAATGGGTTAGATTTATATATCTTCTTCAAGCAAGGAGGAATTGCTTAAGCAGCCATTTCATGACAGTGCCCAGGTAGGAACTTTTCATCAGGTCTATATGTGATCTTCTCACCATTTTAAATATGGCCAACCTATAATTCATCAGGAAAGCAATGTTTTCTTATTGTCTTCAATGCTTCAATGTACGTGWAATATATATGAAAGATGCACAACAGTTTATGCTAACATGGCTCAATGCTACTATGCAATTAAAGATAATCAACAATAATCAAATGTCATATTCATTTTTATAAACCTGAGTAATATGTTAAAAATATAGTATATCTCTTAAGAAAAACTAAAAGTCCTCTTTACTGCATATTCAAAACAAAACAAAAGAAACTGGGGATGGATTTAGTAATTACTCTTAGGATTGTGATAAAATCTAAATAGGAGAAGATTGGCCTCTCATTACTGGAAGTACTGATTCCTTACGTGTGTTCTCCTTCCGACTCAGACTCCCACTTCATTTCTCAGCTTTCTGGCCTACCTGCTGTCCCCACTGACCTTCTGATTTCTACAGCCACTCCCCAAATCCATTCAATTTTTTTTTCCTCTTCTTTGGCATTATTTAATACGAGTATCTGTTTTGCCATGTATATTCTTCTCAATATGTAGTCAAAATGTGTAGGAGTTTTGCCACTGGGGAAATTAGTCACTGAATCTCATTTACAATGTCCCCTGTTGCCTCCTTTCTGTACTCTACATATGTTCTGCATTAAAGAACTGCCTACTCCTCTCTCATCTCATGCTTTCTATAATTCCAATAATATTTTTTTTCAATATCCTTTATATCACCAGTGTTCTATCCCAAGAAMTACCCCTACTTTTGTGCCAAAATATGTCCTTGATAAAATCTCCTGAATCTGAAGGCCCATGAGTCTGTCTATTGTCATTTATCTGAAATGATATTTGAAGGTACAGATCTTTTAATATGGGATGCTCTTTAGCTTAAAATTACCCTCCACCTAAATTTCTGTCCTCTTATATTCCTAAAGTTACTCTGAAGATCACCATATCAAAGACTGTATACAACAGCATCTTGATTCCACTTTTGGTAATATTTTCACTGTATTTCTGATCTTAACTGCTGTAACCTCTGACTGTCAGTGAAAAACCTGCTCTTTGGCTCTTCGCGTACGCCAAGGAGCAGCAGCCCTATGCATAAGAAACAGCAGAGCACATGGGATGCCAAAGACAAATTCCAGATGCCTCTCGGAGGAGAACACAGAATAGGGCCTGTGATGCCCAAACATCACTGGCTGCTGCAGCTACCGCAAACCTGACTGCCTACAAGCTGAAGGAGGATTGCAAGAGGGAATGAAAGAAAGCAAAGAGAAGAGGAATACTAGGAATGGAAGGAAATAGAAATGGCAGAATACTGTACTGGCTTGTTTTCCCCCAGGAAGGCATTTCTTACAGACTTCTGATGCATGCATTTTGATCTTACTGAAAAAAAGCATACCCCAGGAGAATTCTTCAGTTATTTGCCTTTTCTAAACTTTGTTAGAGCAGAAAAGGAATGCTGCTTACAAAGTTTAGAGGAATAGGATTATTAGTCATTACAGCTTGAAAGCTGTCCTTCTGTACCATGTCATCTTTCAGCGTTTGTCAGATTTCAAAACCTTCAAAAGGGAGATTTCRCCCACAGATTTTTAATGACCTTTTTACAAGTAATAAGAATCTCCTTCCCTCAGAAATACAAGACCAACTTAAATGTTCCATGTTTCTTTTGCCAAAATGAAAAGGTTAGATTAACGGTATAAATTGTATCTTCACCCAGTTCACAGAAAAGACTGCAATGCCTAACAAATAGCTACACTGCTGCTTGCCAGATTGCTTTATTTGAGGGCCCATTTTATTACATAAAATTTCTGGCTTAAGATACATAATTACTAGTCACAAATCTTTTTTTTGTGACTTTTTATAAACGTTTGTGACCTTTTTATAAACAAATGCTAGTTATATCATTTAAAATTAACAAATTATTCTGATAAAAAATGAATGTTATTGAAGCAATGGTTTGGTTTACTTGTACCGATGCAATTCTTTGCTATGTTTGGATAATCTGGTATGTTCTTTAGTGCATTCTAAAGGGACCTTCTACTTTAATTTATTGCTCAGATATTATTAAAGATATCAAGAGTGCCTAATAATTTTAGATAAAAAATGTATATTCTCTTAAGAATTGGTAAAGTGTCATGGGGTGAATTGCCTTCTGCTAAAAATAGTACTGCACATCAATGCTAAGGATAAAACATTTAAAAGAAGCAGTTCTTGAGTTTGAAAGATATTCTCATTTTAGTCAATACTGTAATATTTTTGCTCTTATGCTGATATAGCCATAACTAAATTAGCAAACCTAGATCAAAGCAGGAAATAATTCCTCTCAAATAATGAAGGAATAATCATGTTTGTACCAGATGACAATTTATGGAAAAACTGTCACAGAGTGACATTCACATAACTGAACATTAAAATGTTTTTAATAATTAATGTTATTATTTTAATTAATAGTATTATTACCCTCAACTTACATGTGCCTCTTCATCTGGCTGAGAGAATTAAATGTCCAAACTCATGTTATTATCCATACGCAACCCGGCCACATAGTAATATTCACAGCTCCATCCATTTCACAGTCTTTGTGTTATAGGAGAAATAGCTAAGCACTGTTGAGTGCCTTCAGTTTAGTACTTTTTTTTTTTTTTTTTCCAATATTGCCCTTTCCTTAGAATGAATAAATAAGCCACAAACAGTGCCAGGGAAAGAGGAAATGAGATTCTGTTTCCATTCTGTCTTTCCAAGAATCTAATGAGTTCCTCAAACCTGTGAGTGTGATAAAT